AAAATGCTAGAACGTTCAGTTCTGCGGTTTGTAGTCTCAGCACTCCTGTGTGTTACCCTCTCCCATTTTTACACCATCATTCTCCTGCTCCTAGACGTTGAATTGTCGTTAAATAAAACTATATTTGTAACTAGTTTGCAAAGAAAGAAAGATAACACATAAAGGAAGAAAATACAGTTGGACATATTAGTCCAAATTATTTAAAGACTACAGAATATGGCTGCTAATGTTGTGTGATGAATGTAAACACTTAAATCCAGACTTTTTGTGTTCAAGTCATGGTTGTTATAGGGCAAAAATACTTATGGCATAAAATGTCATGTATTGAAATGCACAAATTGAACACTATTTACACTCTCATTGTCCCTAGTTTCATCTTCCTTTCCCTCAAGCATGTTCAAATGAACATTTATAAATACGTTTTCCATTTCTCCATCACACCTGAAACAAACAGCGTTTAATGGCATGTGCTAACTGGGTCACACACCTTAATAAATCATGTTAACTAAATAGCCGTCACCGGCCCTCTTTGAGGATTTAGACACGCTGGATTTGAGTCATTCTCTGTGCACAATGCCTATTTGCATATGACTAATGTGAACACGACAGAGGACAAGAGAATCACACCACCCCCTGTCATCATGATCCTGGCTTTATGCTGCTGTGTGGGAAGGACGGGTGCATGCATGGTGTTGTGCAGACCGACATGTATGTGTTTGTGTGTTTCAGAGATATTGGTGTGTGTTTGAGAAAAGGAACAAAGACTCCATCTGGTCCAGGCTCCCTGACTGTGCCAGTATGAAACACTTCTGTTATCCTCGAGCCCCTTTTTTTGAAGCATCTCGGAGGTGGAGTGGGGCCAGGCGGAGAGCGGCGAGGGGTCCCATTTGAGGCCGAACCCCCCTCCAGGCTGAAACCATTCTCTCCCCTATACAGCTGATGGTGTGTAATGATTCTGCTCCCCTACCTTTAACTCCTTCGCTCTCCGATTCAATATGGTGTAATTACATGAGCAACAAAGAGATTGAAGACCCGTGCAGACTTTGGTGATAAGCTCCCTGACATCAGAGGGCTTTATCCCAGGAGCAGCTGGGAAGAAGGTCACATCGAAGGAGGATATCTGAAGGAGCCGGCTGAGACTTGGATTGGTGGACATTCCTCCCAGCATCCCCCTTAGCACCCCATTGCCATTAATTCTCCTTTCGAGAGCTGATCGAGTACACTCCAGTTGAGTTACAGCAGGATTACTACAGTAACAAAAGAATATTTGATCCAACAGTCATTTTTACGTCTCAGCTCAGTCCTATCTCTATTTTCTATTTCCTGAAGCTTCAGCAAATACATCCTTTCTGGGATAGCTTGATATTTTGGAGTCTTAAGCCTAATGTGTGCCTTGTAGCACTGTAGTATTCATTATCAGGTATTAGTTATACTTCAATTAAATAAAGATTAATTGCTCACTTTAATGGCAGAAAATCTGTAAAAAGTCTGTCTCATATTCCCAGAGCCTCAGGTAGAATTTTAAAATAGCTTTTTTGTCTAAAATACAATCTCATTAAGAAAAAAGCCGCTACGACAGAAGCTGGAACCAGCAATCCATATTTTACATCCTAAATGATCCTAATCTTTAAATGGTTCTCAAAATTGTTGACAAGGAATTTTTCTCATTTTTGACTAATCCCTAAATTGATATATTTCTTGAAACTAATGTGATTAATGGTAAAAAATGTCCATGTAGCTCTGCATTAGGATAGTAGTGTTTTCTCAAAGTCAGAATGTCAGTATGTTTTTCTCCTGAGGGCGGGAGAATAATTGCACATCCACTTTAATGTCTGTGGATGACTCTGAAAAATATCCTGTTATGAAAAAGATTACAATTAATATTGATGCCTCTTCAAAATCTTTAAAACCAAACAAGCCAAGCATATATAAATACTATTTCTATATAGTTACCATTAATCTCTGAAACCACAGCTGGGGAGTAGGTGTCACACTAGTATATTTGTTTTTTTACATTTTGAACTGAAAATATTCAAAGTAGGTGATACATCTGACCGTAAAAAGACAGCAGGATGATGGGGTGTTGGTCTGGTGTTTAGGTTTAAAGAGGCTTTAGTCCTCGTCACAGACCTCAGCCCTTTGCTGCATGTCATTCCACTGTCTCTCTTCAGCTGTCCTTTCCAATAACCCCCCCACCCAACCCATCAACAAAAAACGAAGAGATGATAGAGGCCCCCCTTTGTCCACAGGTGGTGCTTGCATTTATACAAACCATAAGTTCCTCATATAAGCTTTAGCTGTTTTTATGTTGTCTGCTGCCTCCTGCTGATGGATTGTTTTGGTTGGTTCATCCTTTCAGGTCAGTATTTCTTCTTAAACAAAAACTATTGTTCATTTTATCATTGTGTGTGTGAGAAGTGCTATACAAATAAAGTTTGATTGATATAGTAACAGTAGCACTAATTAAACTATAGTTAAAGTAAATCCCAGGGCTGGCTAGCTTTTCATAATGAATCTGGTAGGAAGACCTTTCAGCGCTTTGCATCATAAATTGAATAAACTTCAAGGACATTGAGACTTGAAAGTATCGTACCATTGTATCACCTCTCACTGTGTGATGTTGATGCCATTTGTTTGTGATTTTTATGTGGCAGATGGAGTCTGTTTTGTCCTGATCCTGATTTTTTCCTGCTGTATTCTGAAAAATAAAAATAGATATTGCCTATCGGATTTAATAAAAGGTTATACATTCATCGCTTTTGTGAATCTCTGCAATCTTCATTTTTTGCCATCACATTATTACAGATAGATGGCAGAAGTGGATAAGCATTCTCTTCCAAATCTCCCCTTCTCTACAAATCCCCCAAACAGCAGCAGCTGCTTTCACTCCAAACCTTCACTGATTGCAGTCCTCTGGCAGAGCCCGACAGTCTGCGCACACCTGCTCACACTGACCTCCAATCCATCTCCTCCACGCCTGCCTCACACAACTGCAGGGATTAGCACGTCTGGGACCCGGGAGAAGTGAGAGGGAGGACGGCAGTCTCTATTCTCAAATGCGTGTCCTGTCCCTCACTGGTGGCATTGAACGTGTGCGCACAGCTGGCTGTGTCCCTCTCTCTGTGCATGCAAGCAGCCTGGAGGTTTGTGGGTTGTATGAAAGAGGAACTGCAGGAGGAGAAACGCATGACAGACCAAGAGTGTGCATCTTATGTAAAGGTTGAAGTCCCTGACTCATCCTACTTATCTTTAGTTACCAGTAACTTAACAAGGTTAGAATATATATACATATTCAGAATTGAACAATTCATAACTTTACAAATCTGCATCTAACTTAAAATTAAGTATTTGAGGTTAGCAGTAAACAACAGAAACTCATCAGGTTATGATGCAAATATCTTTAAATTCTGAATAATATATAAAATCACTTTCATTCAGTTTGACATACAGCCAAACTAATTTATATGAAAGATACAACGCTGTGTGGTCTTTGTTTTGATTTACGAGTTCATTGCTTATAAGACGTTGATAATATACTTTAAAGGTTAACAGTTGTAACTGAATAATTAAAGAGGTAGTGTAACCATTTTTAGCACACATTTCAGTTAAGGCGTCAGTAGGAGTGCTTTTTTTTATGAGGTTTTTTTGTCTTTTTAAGGCAATAGATCTTTCATCTACAGCATTTTTGACTTAGTGTCCCACGAGGTCATAAACCCACCTTGAGCCAGAATGCACAACACCAGGACCCTGAAATCAAAGCAGATAAATGGAAATCAGCCCCAGTTAATTTTCTAATTTATACCTGTGCTTTTAACCCTGACAAGTGAAAAGTGTCAGCAAAAATTATAGACACCATTCTTTCAAGCTCTGCATGTGTGTGCGTTTTGTGGTTTCCTCACATGTTCTCTCGCTATGTACTGATCACAGGTGTTCATTCCTCCAAGCACGTCTGATGAATTAACAGCTGCCGTCACTGCATAGCTGCCAGATCTGACATTACACACACCCTGATTCTGATATGACAGCTGCACGCGACGCACACACACACACACACACACACACACACACACACACACACACACACACACACACACACACACACACACACACACACACACACACACACACACACACACACACACACACACACACACACACACACACACACACACACACACACACACACACACACACACACACACAGCTGTACAAGTACACACAAACTTAAAATGCTGGGAGGAAGGTGTCATTTATTTCCAACCTACATGAAATGAATGTACACCTAAAAATAGAGTTTAAAATTCCCTTTTAGAAATACTGAGCAGACAAAAGGTAAGAGCTGTACAAAAAAACAGAGAAGTGGGAGTGTGATATTTGTTTGATTTTTACATGCAGCAGTTCCTCTGTCGTTATTATTCATATTTCTCCCTGGGGAGCCATGTTTGAAAAATGGGACTATAGCAGCCCCCCTCCATGTCACCGTCTCTCTCGCTTACACTCACAAACACTCACACATGCACACAAACACACTTGTTCCAAGTCTTGTAGGAGAAGTACAGACAGGGAGTGTCTCCCTCCTTCTCTCTTTTCCCTCCTTCCCTTCACTCTTTTCTCCCAAATAGAAAGGGATCCAGTTTTTCTCCTCTCTCCGTCACGCGGGTAATCAGCCTCTGCTATTTCATTTGGCTCCGTAATGAAAGCAATCCCAGTGCTTTTCAGTGCAGCGCAGCCCCAATAATGAGGGCTGCCTTACCGCCCCTCAGCCCCCCTCCCTCCAACAGTCCTCACCCTCTCCCTCCCAGCCATGCTGTTAATGGATGAAGGAAAGCAAGTGTGTGTGCATCTGAGTGTGCGCAGCACGCAATCTTGCCAAGTCCTTTGTGTCTCTTTTTCCTTCCTTCTGTGTGGAAAATGAGGCTATTGAATGAAATCTGATGATTTCTGAATATTTGGGTATGTTTTCTTTTTGAATTGAACAAAAGACAATCTGAAAGATTGAGTATCAAAAGTACTGTAGGCTACCTAATGTGACCTTTTTGTACAAAGGTTGCATGTCTACAAGCTGATTTAATGGTAAATAAACAAAGGTTATTTAAAAAAACATAATTCAATTCCCCCCAGGTTGGGAACCACTGTTCAACTTCAAGATCTATATGAAGAATCATCACGTTAAAGAAACACTTGGAATTTAGATGACATGCTTCAACACAGGAGGTAAATTAATTCACATTTTACTTGTGGCAGAAAATATCTAATATAGGAACAATCAATCAACCCTTCAATATAGACATTTGTATTAAGGAACAATGACTTAAATAATCATGATTCATAACAAATTTGTCATTTTCAATGGTTTCAAGTGTTTTGGCTCTAAACTGATTTTTCCAGCAGACAAGGAAACTGATCCAAAATGGCAAACATTTAACTCATACCAACAGTCACTGGATGAATTTGCCAGCTCAAAATAAGTAGAAAGTCTGAGAATGTGGCCAAAATTAGTGAGGTTTTTGTTGTTGAAAATTCACTATTTAGAAAAGACAATGTTAGCATTGACAGGCTGCTTTTATCAACCAAAGCAATGTCTACCTAATGCAAAGTAAGAAACCAACAAGAGATACAGGTCAGCAAGGTCAACACAGGTACTGATACAACACAGCTTCTCGTTTGCTTACCATTAACAATCAACATGTAACACAGAGATGTGTCAACCTTAGACTGCATACAAATATGGACGACATTACAGCTCCCAAAATTGAAGCCAAAATATTTGGAGCTCCCCCTACTGACTGGCTTCAAGGTAGGTCATACACTCTGCCTCTTCCATGTTAACAAATAAGAAATGGGTCAAATTAGAAAAAAAATCAAAAATAAGTTAAACAATATTTTTTCAAACCTGGATTCTGTCTTTAAAGTTAGTTCATATCGAGCTGATTTTAGCCAGTGTGCACTTTTCTGAAAATTTTAGAACAAATTTGTTATATGATGCTATAAAAAGGGGTAAAACATCATAATTGTCAGCTTTGCACTGGATGCAGCGGAGGAACGCTGAGAGGAAATGTAATGAACTTGCGCACAAGAGTCGTTAAACTTTCTATAACACAGCGTTTCTACTTTGTTCTTTTCTGAGTTGAGGGATCTTTGATGTTTTACCGGTAAGTTAAATTTGTGTTTAAGTTAGCAGAAAGGATGGGACATCAAGCCGTGGTAGGGTCTAACATAAATTGCGAGGGAATTTTGGCCTCACTTTTGAACAATGGGAAGAGAAGACACGCTGTCCATAATCATATACAGTCATTGGTGTGAATGTACAGCAGCATGACGGTGAAGAGCAGACTAGATGTAAACGAACAGCTGTGGCTTCATGTAGAAAAGCATCTGAAATATAAGTGCTGTTGTTAAAAACATTACATCTACCTACATTACAAAATAGATTCACATTTTTTGATTGGAAATTCAGATTTTTTTTCCCCCCCGAAATTACAAAAAGGTTTGTGGATGAAACGTTTCTCGTCTTATACACAGCAATTCAATTTATTGATTAGAGTATAAACTTGAAAATTCTGCAAATATGACAAGCAAGGTTTTCACCTGACAACAGCAATATATTAACAAGTGTGAGTGAGGTGTTTTTGTGGAAACAGCAGTAATTCTATCTCAATCTTCTGTAGGTCTTCTGTAAACTGGGGCAACGGTACATTCACAATTTACATACCCTCTCTCAGGTACAGCTCTGCTAGCGTCCTCTGCGTTTCAGTCAGAAATACATTTGAAAAAGGAAAAATTTCCGATGCCCTAAAGTCTGCCCATATCTGCTCAGTGAGAAGATGAGAGAGGGGTAGCCTAAAGTTCAGGTATTGCAATTCATGCAAATCAATCCCCCGGATGTTAGAGACTTTTGGCACAGGTACAACAGCAGTGATGGATGAGGGCATTTGAGTCATCAAAAGTAGTCCAGTCCAAAAAGAGAGCAGAGAACCTTTTCTCAGCTCGGGAGAGCTAAAAAAAAAAAAACATTCAAGTGTCCGATCACAATAAAACCCTGGAGTTCAAGGAGGAGGTTCAGGGTCAGTCAGAGTGTCTGCACGAGCACAGGGAACAGCAGAGACAGGTGCTCGGCTCCTCGGATCGGGAGTTTGTGCGTGGTGTAGAAGTGGATGACCTCTGATATGGTGTCAAACGGAAGACTGTTCTGCCCGAGCACGTACTTTCCGTCTTTGCATTTCGTGAACTTCATGTGCATGAAACCCTGGCAGCTCCTGAGAGGAGGAAAAAAAAACAAGAATAATGGGTTAATAAAAGAAGGAGACAAGGAGGGGAAAAAGAGCAGGAGAGATCCCAACAGAAGACAATGAAAAGGAGCAATGACATGAAATAAGGGACACATAGAGTATCATGTTACCTTCAACACAATTTGTCACATATTGACACAGAAAAAGACAGCCTAGATTTATGTTCACTTATTTTCGTGCACTTTGAGAATACAATTCTAAACAAGATTTAACACCCTGCCACAAATTATGACAGCAGGGGTATTATGATGGATGGATGGGCTGTGTAACAGCACATAGAGGAAAGACAAACCTAGAGAGAGCAAGAATGAAGAACCCTGGACTACGAGGAGTGTTTGAGCCAAGAGAAACACACTGGTCTCTTCCCTTTAAGTGCCAGGCGGACACTACAAGACTTCCCCTTTAAAAGCCAGCCAGCCAGTCATAATGAAAATCTAATTATAGAAGCAGAGGAAAAGACAAGGACTGGAACGGTCACTATAATTGTCATTGTTCTAGTAAACCAAATTACATTTTAAAGAGCAGTGAAAGCAAACGGCTCACGGTGACTACAAACCACAAACAGCATGCAGAGTATAAACGGCCCACTGGCCTCTGGAGCTCAGATGCTTCAGCACGAGTGCTTTCATTCACTCCTGTTTGTTTTGGGAGATTTTTTTTTTTTTTGTATCTCGTGCTACATTAGAACCTACCAGTGTCTCAGTCATTCATAAATATTTATGTGGGGTTATATCTAGCAGGCCTTTCTGTTTCAGTGCTGCTGACTCACTTTAGAGTGGCTCAGCATTTTGTCTCCGTTAATTAAACAACCTTCATCAGCCCTCACACGGTTTGATTACAAGGTATGGTTCCTTTTTCCAAGGAACGCCAGCTCTTGGAGTTTAACCTTTGTCTCTAAAGATTTAAGGAGATATCTCTCCTTTGGCCTTCATGAAAAAAAGTTTTGTGAAGCAAACCAGTCACAACAGCCTGATAAAGACATACTTCCAAGACATGATGGAATAACTGACACAAGATTACATTCAAGGGTATTGTAGTCCCTAGGTATGCATGGACTTCTGCATATGAGACTATGATAAAGAGAGACACAAATTTGAAACATGCAGACGATTCTACGACATATAAAACAATATCATGAACAACATTGATCAAACTTAGACTAAAGGTCTCCATGAAAAGAAAAATACATTTTCCAGTGTTCCTGTATTAAATGTTCATTTTTCTGCCGTTATGTGCCGAATATATTTCAATGAAGAATTATCTGAGTATTTCTACATCAAAAGAACTGTATTTTCTTCTTCTCTCTTCTGGTACAATGTTTCAAATGTCTGATGACTCATCCTGCAATTAGAGGCATTTACAAATATACCACCAATTAAAAAGCTTTGTTGAAGCTAACCATCCAATCAAATTCATCCCCACGTCATGTCCTGCCTTCTATCTTGTGATTGGTTGTATCCTGTTTCATTTGGAATGAAGTCACAACGCAGCAGTTAGATACTCTCGAAGTTCCTGTTTCATGTGGACTTTAAAACAAAAGCTGCTGGTTATCCTTCTACGCTTTAAAACTGTGTAACCTTCTATTCATTCTCCCTGACAGTTCGTACATTCAGAGTCTTCAATGTGTGATTGATGTTTATGAGGCACATTTTAAAGTGCCATACAGCTATCTGTAAAATAGCAGTATGGCACTTTAATGAAAAACAGTTTCAACTTATAAATCTCAAAATATACATGGATAGGTTTTGAGATTTTCCAAACCTCACATGCGCCAAGTGGGAAACCAGTTCCAGTAGTGACCTTGTCGCATGAGCAAGTGTGTGTGTGTGTGTGGGGGCGTGTGTTTGTCAAACTCACTCTACTCATGTAAATGAGTAATGCATAAGCTTGTTTATATGTCAGCACAACACAGTGGTACCCCTGGCCCCCCTCACTCCCTTATCCCCTTCTTGTGTGGCCCACAGAAGGTGATTCATATTCATTAGTGATTATGGGGAGGATGATGTGTGCACTGAAGTGTGCTCTACCTGCCTGATTACCACTTAGAAAGCCCGCTGGGGGCAGAGGAGGAAGGCCACTGAGAAGGGGGGCCAAGGATAGGGAGGGAAGAGAGGCATGATGGGAGAGCGGGGTGAGGCTGGGACGATGGATCATGGTCGTAATTACAAGAGAGGGATTTGACCAGATAAGCAGTATTGTGCCCTGCAAATGAGTATCGGGAGAGGAATCAGTGCTGCGGTGATCTTGAGTGGGAGTGAGGCAGGAAGGGGGAGACAGATGGGGAGGTGGGGAGACTGCTTTATGAGATCTATTGCTCAGGTGACTTCACACACTTTTTGCACAAAACTCCCACACATGGTAAAAGAGATGAGTGCAAGGAAATTGTAAAGATGTTCATTGGAGAATATATATATATATGTATATCTTACCGCAGGGACAAGGAGTAGTCAGAGCGGTTGGTCTGACTGTTCCTCACCAGGTAGCTGCACTCTTTACACAGCGTTAACAGCGACTCTGCTTCTGAACGTGATAGTGAACCGTGGTACCATCTGATAGAAATTACACACACACAAAAACAGACGATAAGATAAGGAAAGAGTTGTGACCTCAGGTGTGATGACATCATCAGATACATTGATCCTTCACCATGACTACACGAAAGATAAAAGTCATTTGTTTTCAAAAGTATGAAACTAGAATCAGAGTCTACAGCCCTGTTAGCAGCTCCAGTTTTAATAGTACTTTAACTAATTGTACTTACCTCTCAACAGCAATATGCTTAACAATTTATGTTGATCACATTTACCATCTTAGCTTTGCGTGTAAGCATGGTAACAAACCTAATTAACCCTAAAAACAAAGTCTACTTGATACTGATTGGGTTGCAATTGGTTTAGCAGATATTTGGTCATAACTCAAATATTTGGCAAATTAAGAATTAGCTTTTGAAATGTTCTTTTGATGATTTGGCTAGATATACTGAACTCTAAATGTTGACATTTATGAGGTTTCTGTGTACGGCAGACTTGAAGGAAAACACAAATCTCTCACAGCCCTTTGGAGATCATCAGGGTGTAATGGGGCATAATAATTAACTGACATCCTCAAGTGCATGTGTGCATGTATGTGTTTGAGATTCAAACAAAGTGTGTGCGCATGCAAATGTGTGCTTAAGGGGTGTTATGTGCTTGGATTTCATTAAGGAAACAGCCCTTTATTTGCACAGAAACTGCACATAAATTACACCATTGATGTCTGAAATTACAAGACCAGAGAAAATGTGTGTTTTTAATGCACTGACTTAATTAGTCCTTATTCTAACCTTTTGCAGTTTTGTCGCCTCTGATGATGCTGCTCAGTAAAAACATCACCATGTTTTTCTATCAGTTTAAATATCAAGGCTTTGAGTAAGGTTTCAGGATTTTAAAGGCTTAATATGCTATTTTTTTCACACTTAAATATAATAGAAATCAAGTAAATCCTCTGAAAATAAATCTGTGAGTAATGAATGTCTACAATGGGTGTAACACCCGAGTCCCACTGTCTGTGATGCTTTCAGAGTTTTCCGAGTCATATTTTCAGTTTGTTGACATCGCCGGGATAGCCGGCTGACTCCTCCCCTCACGAATAAAAGTTGTTTAATTGAGGGACTAGAGAAAAGAAGAATAACATACTGTACTCACTGCTTAACTGCGTTTCTAGATCACGCTCATTCCGGGTAAATTTACATGCAGTGTGAAGATACGAGCTTAATAAAGATCGCTAGCATTAGCATGCTAACACAACAATGCACCGCAAGTTGTTTTGGTTTCATGCTGGTGCTCAAGGGCGACATCTGCTGGATCAAAAAATCGCATATAAAGCCTTTAAACATCTCACTCCTTATTGTACTTGGAGCATCCAATGTGCAAATGTTCTTGGGAACACGGATACTTTTTGATTTCATTAGATGTCAACTGCATGACCAGGGCAACTTCAAATTGCTTCTAAAACAGGGTAATATCCTTATATTGAATTGTATTCATAGTCCTCTTAATCTGATTAAACCTTAACAGGAGAGTGGTCTACTCTACAGTGACACATACTTATAAGTGTAATTGTAGCTTCTATGGATTTAACAGCAGACTGCATACATACACCTGCTTCTCCAGAGGCAGAGTTGGGTCCACTCTCTCCCCAACCGTGGACAGGCCTTCCTGCGGCATTCGAAACTTCATCCCCCCTCCTGCCAGTGGGCTGGATCTGGGCCCCGGAGGACGCAACCTGTCTGTGGGCGACGAGGAGCGGTCCCATTCAGCGCCGTCAAACTGCACTGTTGGCAGAAGGGGGACAGAAAAAGTGAGTCATGGTATTTACACGGTCCTGTGATCAAAAGGGATTAAACCTCACAGCAAGAGTTGGGTAAACAGCAGACATCCGGCTATTGCAAAACCATGCATGATGCAGAGGCACCTCTGACGGAGGAGTCCAAGTAGAAGAAAGCAGGTTGTGGTGCCATTGTTAAACTATCAGCATCATCACAAATACTATGATCAACATTCCCTCAGGGATTAATAAAGGATATCAAAAAAAAATTGTTATGTGTCTCTGAGGGAAGATGGAGACTGGAGGTTGGCGTCTTCCCTGGCTGGCTCTTTCACACTTCTTTGTTTTTGATAAGCGAACAGGGCAGATTACTTTCTACACACTCTTTTGATTAAGGAGCAAACAAGTTTGTCAAAATGTTCAATACTTTGATACTTTGTGTGTCTTAAAAACAATCCCATTTCAGTTAAATCAATGATCAATAGTAATTGAAGAGTTCTGCAGCTTGGAAAAAAAAGAAAGATCTTCTGTCTTATTTTTTACCAAATGCTACCGCGAGCAAAAAAGAGAGCCCAATCTAAATTGTACAAATATGTTAGCAATGTTTTTGCAACAATTTACTATTAAAAGAGTGCAAAGAAATTTGCCTGCATTTGGTAAAAACAAAAAATCACCAAATAATGGGTCCCAAGGACTTATTTTTGATGCTGTGATATCAAAACAGGTAAAGCTTGATTTGAAAACTCCTGTAAGGAGCCTGAAATTAATACTGATCCCTATTTATGACCTACAAAAGCAAACAAGACCATCAGTGACAATACTGAGTATTTCTATAAGGTAATTTGGAAAGCTGCTGGGTAGTAGATTTAAGATAAAAAATATAATAACACACTAAAGAAATAACCTTTTTTTTAAGTTTTACAAAGCAAATATCCTCAATATGTGATTAGTTTCATTGATAAAAGAAGCAGGATGACATTTTTGTCAAAAACACAACTTGTACATGTATGAGAACAAATCAGTACATAAGATGTACTACTTTGTCCACAGGTGGCGCCAAATCAACACAAAGATACTAACAGGAGCTTTAATCAGTATAGTATCTAATTTTAAAATTCTAATATCCTGAAAACACTAGGAACAAAATTGTTTATACACATAGAGACTGCTTTTAGTAAAAAAGAGACCAAGAAGAACTTTCAATTAAACATTAAGGTTACCATCCCACTACTTACTTCTCTGACACGAACAAGGCAGACGTTCTTATTTTGAATTTGCTTTAAACGCATGGCTGATGCAAGAGCAAAACATGGGAGTGCTTTAAATAAAACACAAAAAAAAACTGATGACCCAACAAGCCCTGCAGGCAGGGACAGATGCAGGGGGTGCAGATGTAGGCGGCTTGCTGCTTGGGGTTTAGAGTTCAGGTAGAGCAGATGTAGGATAACAGCTTGGGTCATGAAGGTCAGGGTGGCAAAGCTTATGTGTGTGTTTGGGGTGAGAAAGGAAGGCAGAAAAGGGGGGGGGTTAGGGTTGTGTTCAGGGTGGGAGGTCACCTTGCTCTCTGACGGGATGCTCCTCCTCCATCTGACCCACCGGGGCAGGCCAGGGCAACTCCGACAACTCCCTCATCTCTAGTAGAGGGGAGGAGGAGAGAGGGAAAAAAGTTGTGCGACAGAGTGAGAAAACAGCAGATGGAGTTTGAAGAAAAGTTAAGTTATGGAAGATGTACAAGAGAAGCGATGATGAGAAATGGGAGCAAAATCAGGTGCAATATTTAATGTGACAGAGAGAGAGAGAGAGTGATGTGATTTGTGGAATAGAGAAGTGAGGCAGCATGTGCGTGCTTATGGCAGGGATGTGTTGTCATGAAATGTGGTCGGCCATACCTCCTGTCATGATGAAACAATGTTCTCATACTCCTCCGTCCTCTTACTGAGTGAAAATGAGTTATTTATCAAGTGCGATAAGACTGAAGAAAGAAAATAATCTGATGTCAGAGCTGCATTATTTATAGCCATCTGAAAGAATCTACTTTAGAAAGTTGTCTACTGGCAGGAGACCGAAACAAAGCGTGACTTCTTGTGCACTGGGACGCACAGTGCAGTCGAGGAGCGTGGGGAGCGATCAGGGCTTTTTTTCCACTGTCCTAGTAGGAGGGCAGCAGAAGCTGCAACATGAGTCAGAGCTGAAAATAGCTCATTATATAGCATGGCAGTCATTACAGCAGCCTTACACACACAGACACATTATGCAATTCCCTTCTTTCACACCTTACATGCAGCTTCCGCTCACAGCCAAAACGGATTACAAAACAAATAAAAGAAAAAGAGGGGTGATGTCTTAATGAGCCGACAAATCCAAAGACCCCCAAGGCCGGCGACATCAAAGGCCATTTGAATGGGCGTTTGAGAGAGACCCGGGCTGTACATACATGCCTCCCTCCCTCCCTGGTTAATTATTGAGCAGGCAGACACACTCCGCCACTTTTCTGTGGCTCTCGGTGAATTATTGATGCATGGCGCACAGTACAATGGTCCCATCTGGAGCGGGCCGCACCTCCGCCGAAGCCAGGATGAAAGTGTGGCCTGGCACCCTTCAATGGGAGACATGCACGCAAACACACAAGTGTGCGCTCACACATCCACCTGACATCCCGTATAGCAACACGGCTGCCACACTCTGCTGCCTGTCCACTCACCAGCAAAACACATTTCACACCTCGTATTCTCAAGCAAAACTGAGACAGACACATGGAAAGAGAGGGGTGTAAATGAGAAGCTCAGAAAACCAAGAAAGGACGGAGAGAGAAAGAGAATAGGGCAGCCAAGACAATTTATCACAGATCATAAATGTGCACAGCCATCGGAGTTAGAGATAAGCTCAGGTAGTGCTGCTCTATACAGAAAGAGAACATTCATCAAGATTCCTCTCCAGTGTTGGGTTTGCTCTTAACAAGCTCAATAAGTCATTTGGTCCGGTTTTATTGAATCTTAATTGTATTTTTCGAACTCGTAGAGAGCAGAACTGCTGAAGGTGGTGAGACAATTTTAACTGTTTCCACTACTTTATCTGATTTGCTAATTTTTGCTTAGGAAATATGCAAAAAAAAAGAAAAAAAAAGTTTGCTTCTTGCAGTATGATCCATTTCACCCATCTCAAGTAAGGATGGGACAAAATATCAAAATGGCAATATATAGCACCTCCCTTTTATTACATAAAAGATACAGCCAATAGTGGACAGACATCTAGAAGACAGAATAAAACAGCATGAAAGACATAAGTTCACACCACTGTGTCTATTTATAAGTGACTGCTCAGTTTGTGTGTAACATCATACAGCACAGACACTTGATGTGACATGCTGGTAAGTGTGTTGCTAGTCAATTCACAGTTTTATGATTTAAAAAAAAGTTGTTACCTTGTGTCTTTGGATGAATAATTCTACAATCTGACAAAATAAATGAAACCTAAAATCAAGAAATTAATTTTCACATAAATGTATATTCTGTGTGGGAGTTTCCCCGTTAAGTTTTTGATGGACACATTGCTCTCCCATGCACCTATATTATGAAATGGATGTGCAAAGGTTTTTTTTTTCTATATTTAACATACATTGATATTAAAATCACAATTTTCCTCTGACTCAGGTAACAAGCAATAATTATCCTTAAAACTGCAGTTCCCCACCAAGAACTATTAGAACCTATATGAGAATTAGATTTGAACAGCTCTCAACACTGCACAAAGCTGAACATACATACAAATACACAATGATACGAAGAATCCCACTTGGATGACAAAAGCCTGGATACCAAGCTAGCACAAACACACAGACACACAACAGATTAGACAAAGTCATTCATTTACGAGCAGGGAACATCTGGCCTCCATTCACTTCTAATAGAAACCTGTGGATCAGTAATACATAGAGGGCTGTTAGCGCTTTGTGCTCCAATACAGGACAATGAGACACACTAATGGTTTACTGACAAAGGCCCACCATCACCAATGCTCAGAGCTTGTATTCATGATTTAAAATCTAATACACTTTAGTTAGTATTTCTAAAACGAAGGAGTGTTACTTCCATCAGGTCTGTCTCCCAATTAAACGCAGCTGATGATACAGGTGACAGCAATTCAGTGGACTTGGGTCTGCCAAAATGCCACATGTGCCAGGCGCCTGAGCTACCTGCTAACAATTACCAGAAATTATCTGAGGGGGAAGGGAGTGCACACGCTTAGTTTTTCTTTTCTGTGTTGCACACAGGACGCATATAGCCATGAGTGAAAGATTACTGACTTTTCAAGCACACCAGCTGTTTTCTCTGTTGTTGTAATAAAGGAGGAGCAGACAAAGACAATAGAACAGCTTGATTGGGTCCGTTAATGAAGACATCTGTTTTTCAAACGGCATCCCGTCTTCTCTCAGCACACAAAGACCTTCTGCTGGGCAAAATGCCCCCCATAAGGACAGATGATTAACACCTTATGCCAGTGAAGTAAAAACACATTCACACATCCACTCACGTTCCTCTTGATTAAAGTCATGCCATTTCGATTTTTATAATAAAGAAAAATATCTCGTCTGTATATCTGTTTTCCAGTCTTTCTTTACATCCATCCCCCTGTGGCTCCATGCTGCTCTCACGTCTTTCCCTCTGTATTGAAATTCTTCTCTCACCTGTCTTCTTCTAAGTGCGTCATTATCTCATTTTTCTATTTTCCCTTTCTTATCCCTCTCTTTTACCCTACTCTACTTCCATCGTCCCTTCTCCTTTCTTCATCTGGCAGTAGGGAATTAAAAAGGACCTTCCTTTTCATTGATGTCAGTAAAGCTGAAGGAGGACGCAAAGCAGCAAAGGTTGGAGAAAGAAAATGTGACAGTAAAGTGATAAGATTCTGGTCAGATGCCCCCAGGGCCTGTTTAGAGCAACAGAGAGGAGCACCTCATCAGAAAAGAGAATCTAATCATTTTCCTTTCATTTCTTCCCTTGCATGTTCTTCTGCACACACAAACACACGAGCATGAATTTCTTGTCACCTACGGGCATACACATACAGAATAAACAAGGAAACCTGTTACTGTCCTTTCTGCGCACATGTATCCAGGCAACCAGACACAACACAAATACACACGTTGACCATCTGTCAAGGTGTCTCTGCAAGCTTTGCTACACTTTCCTTTTTCTCCTGTTTGCATGAACGTATGAAGCATCTGCTAGTATCCAGCTTACAAGAATAAGATAAAGATAAAGCAATCTTATTTATCTATAGCTTTTGGCCTTCAAACATTGCTTTCAGATTCTTGAGAAAGTGTTTCTCTTCTTTCATAATAATCACCTGCAACCTTTTGCTCCATTCCTAAAGTCATGTGTCATGATTGCAGATTGATGGTAGAGTCTAAAGCCAAACCAGTGGCTCTGTTAAGTCACCCAGGCATAAATGCACTTTGAGCTAAATGAGAATGTGTATTTCTGCAGAGATTGGGTCTTAAAGCAAAGTGTTGGACATTCTTGATGATCATTTCAATGTCAATGGGATTACCAAAGTTTCCCTGAGGAGAGTATGGATGTCTGTTCCAAATTTCAAGATGATTATGTTGTGGGGACTCCCAAAGGAGAATAACTTAAGTCAGAGGAATTTTTCCTCTCAGGAGCATTAACATCTGCACAAGATTTTATGTCAATCTATCCAATAAGTTTTGAGATATCTCAGTCCAGACCAGGGTGGTGGACCGTCCAACCAACGAACAAAACCACCCCTATAGCCATCTTGCTTCACTTCCTTTTTAGTTCTGAAAACAGTTTACCTAAACCCATATGAAAAAAAAAAAAAAAAACATATTTTCCACCATCCTTTTGCTTTAATGATGCACACATTCACACTCAGCAGCTTTTCTCTAAAGCTCCACTCTTCTGCTGTTGCCTAATGAGCAGCTGCACTGGAACAAGTGGAGGATAAGTGCTTTGCTCAATGGCGCCATAATAGTAATTACTGAGGGTTGCGTTGTTATTCATTCATTTCCATTCACCTTGCCCATCAAGATTTCCAGCTCTCTCTCATCATGTAGCCAATTTTCAACCTCTAGACGACCATCATCTGCATCAAATGACTCTGAGCTCCAGTACTGAGGAATAAAACTTAAAAAAAAAACATGCTACACCCATTCATCTGTTCATAGGTGTGGCCATCAGATAGATAATGAAATTGTGCCTTCCATTAGCTCACTAATTGGTGCTCATGTCTGCAGGGCCCATATCTCACTGCTGGACTGTGTATTGACTTCCAGCAATTAATGAGTGCTGTAATTTGAGGTGGATGATGGTGACTTGTGACAGCTTTCAAATGCTGTAATTAAAACCCTGCTGACTGAGAGGGGCTTGTCAGGTCTCTGACCCCTCTGGCAATGGTGAGGCTCAACCTCATTGAGCTGGATGAAGCAAAATGAGAATAAATAAAAATGCTTCTGAGGCAAACTTATTTTGGATTATATTTGAATAATAGCCCAAAAATTATATTCAGGCAGGCGGTTGTATAAAAAGCATGGAAAAACCGTGAAAAATCATAATTACAAAAGATTCTGTCTGACGCACAAACACATCTACTCCCCCCCCCCGCCACAACCCCATCCCATCTCCTCCAACCCCCACACCCTTACACTTATTTGTGCCAACATGCACACAACCTCTTCTCACACTTCAATTAGCTGCCTGATAATAAGAGCTGAGAAACCTTGTTGAGAATCCACACGTGTGTAAGTGTGTGTGAGAAGGTGATGATGAGGGGCTGCCGGCAGATTGTGATGCCCCCCTTTGCCCCCTGTAGCGGGTTATCTGAGTGAGTGTGTCACATCCACAGGGAGAATGAGGGAGGGCTGCAGGGATGACCCTGTCAGCGCTGCAGTAGTGGTGTATATATGTGTGCGAGTGTGTGCCTGTGTTAGCGGATGACTGATTGCACCCTGCCACAACAGCCCTGACTCCCCCTTCTCTCCCATCTCCTCACCTCGCCACAGCCCCCGACCATTAATTCTCCCTGACGCCCCTCCCCTCTGAAACACTGGGCTCTCACAAACATCCATTGAGCTGCCACCAAACATAACCTTGGACGTCCCCTTCTATTTCTCTCTCCATCTAGCTTTCTCTGGAGCCTCTGTAGAAATTTTCTCTCTGTCCGTCTCTGTTTCATACCTCCTCCTATCTCTTTTTCCCCTCTTTCCATCTCTTCTTTTACTTCATTCTCCCCCCACGTGTGGGTCGTGCCTAGCAACGCAGAGTGGGTCTGGGAATAAGGATTAAATGTGAGAATGGAAAATACTGTTTGTGTGTTTACACTTCAGTGCTCTGGTAGGCTCAGACAGACAGCACGCCAGCTCAGAGTGCTGACTCCAAATGGAAAAAACAAGGGGTCAGACAACTCGAGCCGCACAAGCGTGTTCCTCCACTGCCTCCTCTAATGGTGCTGTAAGCGCTCCCCAGCAGGAGTGCATACTGTATGTGGCACAAAGAGAACAAGCCAGAGAGGAAGAAAACCACGGTTAGGCAAGGAAGGAGTGATAAGTAGGTGAGAGGTGATATTGGCTTTTAAATTAACTGTCATGAACCTCTTTTGAAATTATCCACACTCTCAAATAAGTTACGGTCTCTCTTTCTTTGCTCCTCTCTGTTTCATGTGAATTGAGCATGAACCTGGTGTGAATGGATATATCTATCTCTGTATGCCTGAGTGTTCAGGGAATGGTTTGCTGACCATGACTCTTATTAGCACCAGATCAGTCATGCACATGCAGGCATGTAATTAACTTAGAAAAAAGAGGGGGGGGGGGGGCAAGCAGAGGATGGGGGACAGAGAAGGGGAGGAAAGCAGGAATGGAGAGGAGTACAAAGGAGGAGAGGTTGATTTATTATCCCATCACCTTGACCTCGGTGACTTGCAGATGCAGCTCAATTAAGTGGACTTGACCAGGCATGCCTTATTCTGATCCACTCCTAAATGAGCTATCAGTCTGCTGCTGTTTCTCTTACTACTTCTTTACTCTCTCCTTCAATTATATCCAGTAGACAGAAATAATGGGATGAGATGTGCCATGCACTGACTGTGCAATTTTAAAAATAGTGCATGCACTATGCCAATTATTTTCAAAATACTGCTGATGTGATGATAATGAAGGAGAATGAACCTTGCCTTATGTGCGTGCCACTGCTAACCTTCCTTTAATGACGTCAACTGCATCGCTTCTCATTTATACACACAAGACGTCTCTGTCAACTCAAATGATCATCTCAGAGGTTGTTGTGACTCTAGCCCTTCACATGTGCGGAACAAAAAAAATCAATAGTAACAAGAAGGTGTTCGAATTTAGAAAGGAAAGATTTGTGTCATTTTAGCTGAGAATGAAGGTCACAGCTCTCTCCTTGTCTGACAAAAAAAATGCATTGGCGATGGGATGCAGGCACTACATTAAAGGTCAGGCCAGTTAGATGAGTGTTTCACGATGTAGTATCAGCAGCAAGGCACTCTGTTTGCTCCTGGGAGGGCTTCGGTCTTTATGACAGCACCTTTGAGCGCTCTCTTAACTATTTTCACTGGTTCAAATGAAAAAATCCCTTTCTTAAGTAAAAGGTTGTTTTTTTTCTCAAGGTTTGTGTTTGACATCCAGGAAGGAGTGCTCATCTGTACATGAGTAGGTACAGGATCATGGTGAATCTTGGTTTTCAGTTATAATATGCTCTCCATACAAATCAGTAAACTGTATTACATCTCACTCAAACATGTTGGAAAGGTGAAGATTTCTTTAGCATTGCTGCTGCAAGCCAGAACCAAAACAATTTAAGAAGTTTCTGTGAGACAGTTCACATCATGAAAATATATGTAAAAATTGCCATTACCAAAATAAAATGAAAGATAATCCTGCAGCTGTTAAGACAAATCTAACCGCATTTTTATAACCAAAAAATTAACATTTCCAGAAGAGCTGTTATGTTCACATCACTTTGGTTATCTTTTGTTAGAATACAGTGATACATATTCTGCCTACCTGCAAAAGCTTTGGAGATGTTGTCCTTTTTCCATTCCCAGGGTTGGTCGTACTCATCAGCTGGTCGCTCATCATCTTGCGGCAGCCTGCTGCTCTCCTTACCCTCCTCCTGAGGTTCCCCGTACAGAAAACCAGGGCGCTGGCCTCGCTCGTCTTCATAAGGTGTGTCGTAGAGCTGCATCCCGCCCCGGGATCGCCCTCCTCCTGGTCCTCGCTGCAGCTCTGTGATGATTCATGTGCAAAAAAAGCATTAATTCAACCATGCATTCATGCAAAACTTTTAGTAAGATTTTTTAAAGATTTTCCTGGATGTGTTGCTTTTTTAATCAGTCTGCAAGAAAAACAAACAGCATAAAGAAATCATATTTGCCAGGACCCATGATGTTATTTTATGCACAACACTGACATTATTCTAAACAAGAAAGTAATTAAAATGCCTGTTGAGCTCTGACACGACTTGAATTAAGGGAGAGAGAGAAATGATGTTTGCACAGCTTGCCATGGGCTCAGAATCTCATATAGGGGGGCTTAACGAGGCCCTGGGCTAGATGCTGAGTAGCAACACTGTAGACAACCCCAGCCCCCCTTCTAATGTCCATCAAGAATCCCAGCAGCAATCTAGAATAGCTCACAACATTCATGTTGCCTTTTAACACTTTCATTAAATTCCCAGTGGTTTCCAACCAAGAAAAGATTCTCAGCACCTGCGACTGCTGTGGGGAGACCAATATGGCCGTGAGATAAAAGGCTTTAATATTATTGACAGAGTCTGATTTCTGAATGCATCGATGGAAGTCTCTTAGCTGCTGCAACAGCAATAAGCAATGGTGCTTTGATATGAAATGTACCTTTTAAAAAACAGGTGTAAGAGAGAAGGAGAAAATGAAGGAGTATGCATCTTTTGTGCACATAGCCAGCAGCAATGCATTCATGTGAGAAGGAAAAAAGACTTAATGGAAGTGTTCAATGGTGAAAGGCAGAGAAAAACTTCAACCTTCACACGATATGACACCCTGTAGTCACCATGGCTACCAACTGGAGACCCTGGGGAAAGGCCCTGAGCTTATAAATAAGAGGGTGGAGAGGAAAAAAATTGAAAGAGGAGGAGCAAGGCGAGCAAGAAGAGAGAAGCAGGAGGAGAAGGAAGAAGGAAGTAGCAAGGAAGTAAAGGGGAGGAGCAGGGTGATGGGAGAGAAGGACTGGGGAGGTAGGGAGGTGATGGGGGGGGTTCTGTCATCGTTTGATGTTAAGTCATTGAGACAGAAGCACAGTGGGGCTGAGCGCTGCTCTACCTGCGTTGGGAGCCCGCAGTGTAAGCCACAGCCTGGAGATAGAGAAGATGAAGTCAGAGAGATAAAAACAGGCATGGAGGGAAATAAAATGAGAAATTTGTAGGAAACATGATGGAGGAAAAACAGAAGCGTGGGGTGGGGGGGGGTATAGCAATTTGACAGAAAAGTGACAGAGGTTGGAAATTGAGGGAAATGAGGACTGTTAATGCATACAGACCAGGAAATAGAGAAGTTGTGTCCACATAAACTAAATGATAAACTGAAGATGTGTTTTCTTACCTAAAAGTACATTCTGAAATAAACACAGTTGTCTTTTCAGGACAGTCTTTGTTGAGATAATTACTATTCCAATCTCACATCTGTCTTCTCTGCTCTGCTGTGTTTTGATGAGCAATGACTGACAAAGAGACAGACAGACAAAAGCAGGCAGACAGACAGCCCTGAAGTGACAGGCTCAATTCAAAGTCAGAGAAAGAGCAGTGACAATGATTTCCCAAGTGCTCTGCCATCAACAGCAAGAATCTCATCTCTCCAATGGCTTCATCCAGCTGCAGCAAGAGAAAAAAATATTCTTGAAGGTTTCTCAGTTGGGCAAAAAAGAAGAAGAAAGAAGCCACTTTCACTCTTATTCTCATATTATAAAGTTAATTTAATCAGCAAAGAAGCAGCACATGTGACAGAAAAGAGGAGGACAGGTCAGAAAATGTGCTAAAGGCCAGATGAGAGAGACACAGCCAGACTCCCCTTAGGGCCTGGGAGAGCCCCTCGAGATGAAGAGAGACAGAGAAATGGAGTAAGAACAGGAGGAGGAGTGGGGTGTGTGTGTGTGTGTGTGTGTGTGTGTGTGTGTGTGTGTGTGTGTGTGTGGGGGGGGGGGGTGTTACACTAAATGACTGGGACAGAGCAGTGAGTGTGCGGTGCAAAGGGGCAGACAGAGATGTTATGGGAGGAGAGACAAATGGAAAACGATAGTGGATGATGTGGGAGAGAATCGGAGGGGAAGGAGGGAGGGTCTGATAATGGATCCTGGATGCACATCTGTAAAAACGACATTTTGTGATGCTGAGAAGAAATAGACCACCTGGGATGAACTAAAAAACATGCAACGCTTTCTACTTACAAATGGACTCATTAAAGTAGAATTAATGAGCAGTACTGCATTTTAAACCTGTATTTTTAGAACAAAGACCTGGGAAAATGTAAATAAGATAGAGTTCTCTACAGAAGCAGAAAGAAAAAGAAGAGTAATAAAGCATAAAAAATAGAAATTAAACATCTCTGTGTTGTGGTTATAAAAATGAATTTGTGACATTGTGTATGGATCAATGATAGTCTTGGCAGTGTCCATGTTTTGTTGATGATTTGGTGAACCTGAAATGCAATAAAATATCTTTCAGATTGTAATTCTACATATGTCAGAGGTTCTGGATTTAACCCTTTAAGAGACCAACTCACTCTTTTATTGTTCAATGGGAGAGGAAGACGTTAGAGGGAACGGAATTGGAGCTTAAACCCAAACAGCTATGATAACAACATGGCACATTAGAGATTGACTGCTGAGTAATAATAAATCCACTGACCTGTTATGACCCTCTGGGCCTCGTATGGTTCCATGTAGCCATTGTTCTCGCAGGGAGCAGGTCCGTAATCTGGTTCTGGCCTGTGGTCTAAGCGAGCATCAAACGGGTCAGAGTAATCTGTGTCTCCTGCCAGTGGGGCTGATGGCACCACCTAAAGGACCAAACACAAGAAGTAAGGCTTTTTGCTGAAAGAACATTAACCTCCCTCACCCCCTTAGAGAAAAATGTCCTATCCTCTATAGCTTGCCATGATAAATGAAGACATAAAGAAATATTTTATTTGTCTTTCTTGCAGGTAAATGTGCATAGAAGTGTTAAGATTGTAATCACATGCAACAATGAATTTGAATTTAATAGAGTTTTCACAGCCGCTTTTTGTAAAACTTCCATTTCCACTTGAAACAACGGGTTGTTAGTGATTTGGTGGATTCAGTCTGTAACTTGTATAAAAGCTAAGAAGGACGAACGGTTGGACACAATAGCTCATCAAGCTAGAGAAAGCAGCACAGGATTGAAATGGCAGTCATATCCTTGCTCAGTGGCACGTTAAATACAAGTTTGATTACAGCCAAAACACTTCTGGAGAATCAAGACTCTAATTTGCACCTTTTGTGTGCAGCTTCACAAAACCAAGCCATATATATATATATATACTAGCTATAAAACAGCTCCCTCTTAAAAGCTGTTAAGATGGCATTCTATTGTATCTTTATTGCTACGAATAAGCAACATGAAGTGCAGCCCTGACTCACCCTGTGTTCAGAAGCTGAGATTTTTAGGTGGAGAACACAGAGAGCAATGAGGGTGCTGCTTGGTTGTGGGGAGTATTTGTTCCTTCATGCAAGCACAGGAGGAAAGCAATGGTCAGCTGGCAAACTGACAGCTACAAAGGAAGCCATATGGTCTCAAACACACACACACACACACAAACACACAAACACACGTACCCCTTGTTTTCTCTTTCTGTGACAAAGAAAATTGCTAAAGTAAGACTCTCCACCCAAATTTCTGCTAAACTCACACACGCCGTCCCAAAACTACATCCTAATCCCATGTTGTTTTAGAAACAGGATACCTATCGATGCACAGGAATCTGCAATGTTAATTAGAGTGCGGATGTTCCCACAGAGCATGGGAAATTAATGAGAGCAGGAGGGGAGTGGGGTAGAGAAAGAGGGGGAGCTATTGACTCGAGTTAAGACTATTACTTCAATCCACCTCAGGACTTTCGCACTTGTAGCATTTTCCATGAGCCAGGTCATGGATTTAACTGCTGCGCTGAAAAGCCTGAAACTCTCCTTAACATACTCAGCATATGTGAGCTGAATGAATGCGAAGATCATTTCCTTGTAAAACTTTCGCTTCTTCTCCAGCAGCTCACTCAACATCTGTTTGCCTTTTTTTTCTGTCTGTTTTTTTCCAAAGAACAAAGCAAGGAAAGCACTGCAGTCCTGGTGACAGAGTATGAATTATACCTCCCTGTAGCCCATGGCATATCACCATGCAGTGCGCTGTATATGGTCCCCAACATGTGCACATACGGGGGGCTCTCTCAGCTTGCAAAACCAAACCCCATTTATTATTTATGGTAGGACATAAACTCATGGGACTGTGACCCTCTCCGACTCAATGGTCCGCTCAAGCCATCAATAATTCTTCCTTCCATCTAGGGTAGCGAATTTATGTCCCGCGTGGGATGTAATGTGATTTATGAAAACAATGCATATTTGTGACAAACATTACGAGTCACTTGCTTATGCACTCTGATCAATAAAGCTGTCACAGAGATGGAAACTTAGCATGAGTGCTTTTATCCTCAGCCACTTACTTGCCTCCTCCACTTTACAAGAGAGCAACCACATACAAAAATGTCTGCTATCACCACCTGCTTTTAGCTCTCAACACCTACGAACACTAAGAACTGGGGCTCTTACAGGCTCTTGCTGGTCCTCTAAAGAGATGGCACTGAGGAGGATCTTGGTGCGCCCCAGCTCCTGTGAATCCACTTTGATCAGTCTGTGTTTGGGAGATTTCATATCCACAGTGGATGTCTTCATTGGAGACCCATACACAGGTGTAGCAGGGTCAGAAGTCCCAGACTCGCCTCTGGATCTGTTTTCAGATTCCTCGTACGGATCCTCAAAGTCAAGGTCCCTCTGGAGGCGGTATGCTTTAAGAATCTCGCTCTCTGTGTAGTCAGGCGTGGGCGGCTGAGGAGGCACCTTCCTGCTGCCGAAGCTCAGGTAGTCTTTCAGCCACTTGGCCATCGCAGCTCTGCTTCTTGTGAGTTGTGGAGTGAGAGCAGGAAGCTGCAGGAGGGGGCAAACAGGGACACACATGTGGATTATTGAGTTCAGTCTCTGAAGTGATTCTGTGAACTATGTATTGGATTTAAGCAGTGTGCCATTTGGTTTTCAGGACAAGACAATCAAAAGATTATAGAATAAACAAGTATTTTACAATCAAAACACGATTAATCCACAAGTCCTGATCCTCTCGTAAGATTAGGGCTGGACAACTTCTTCTTGATCACACATCCACAATCAGGTCTATGATTACATGCACCCATGTGTCTTTTAACTGCACCAACAGCTGGACTTTACGCACGCCTTTTGTTTTACGCAGTGAGCAATAACGTGTGGGCATCTGGACTTTGCCCAGAGGCTGCAATTACGGTTTATAAACTGATAAAAAAAAATGGGTAGACGAAAACGGAATGACAGTTTATAAGCTATCAGTAATCAAATAAGTTAAAGTTAAATTCGCACATCTTGTTTGCCTCCCTTTTGTAATTTAACCAACAGTTAGTTTCTTCTGATTTGGAAATCTTTCCACGCAAAATTTGCATTTTTTTTCTTTAACTTCCACTTAAACCAGATCCCAACACGCTGGATTTAAACACGAGTGATCGCTGTGAGGTGAAAGCACATTACTTACCAATCCTATTCAGTCCTTCGGCCACTTTGGACGTTTTATTTCTTGATTCTTCATATCGATCGCAACAAAACGGCACAGAGAAGTGCTCGCGCTTTTATTCCTCAAAAGCAAGAAAAAGAAAAAGAAAAGAAAAAAAAGGAGCAGCTTTCTTGAACAAAACAAGAGCAAATCCTCCGGTGCTCCTCTGACGGCAAACGTGTGCTAGACTGGTGAAGTGAACGACTACAGCTCCGAGACAAACTCAGTCGAGCGATTAAAGGGGAGGCGCTTCATTCCCAGAGGAATATCCTCCTATTCTCTTTCGCAGTCAGCCGACCGTTCATTCATTGAAATGTCTGCACATCACAGTGGCTTCAACAGGAGATACTCATCCTCTTTCAAAATCACATCTGCATGGGAAGAGCAATTGAGGATCTGAAACTGAGGAGAAAAAACAGTTCGCACGAAATGTGCTCCAAAGACGTGAATTATTTATTAGAGTGACATCACAGTCGAATTTTCCTGCTTCAGCTTCACTTAAGGTTATTTCCCCCCCCCAAAAAAAAAAATATTTGGCACTTTTCTAGAACTACAAAAGCCTGGAGGGTGAACAAAACTGTTCTGGTGGAGGAGAATCCCATCATCCTTTCGGCAACGTGAGCAACGCTGTTAAGTTTAGATGGAGGTGTAGTCACAAAAGAAACAACATGACAAAAAGCATTGAATCCTGTCCACTTTGGTTGAACATTTTGTTGAGTGCTTGTTTCATTCCCTTGTTTTCGTCCTCCTTTCTGAATGAGTTTCATCCTCCCACAGATGTTCCATTATTCAAGGTCCAAGTTTTAAATTGGATTGTGTGCTACAGTGGGTACGGCCATCTAAGTCTGTTAAAAGACCGTAAATGCCTCTTTCTTTACGACACTCATGAGCTCACTTTCTCCCAAGGCAGGAGGCTGGATGAGGTCACTGAGCTAGAATCAACCCCCACTGCTCTGACCACAACCATCAACAGTATGCCATCAAATCCTTCATGTCTTCCTGCCTAAGTATGTCTGCTCTTGTGTTCTCCCATTACTGGCTGCAGATCCTAAAGGAAGGTCATTGAGATAAAAAAAAAAAAAGAGTCCTTAAATGTTTTGGAAATCTGAGGTCTCAAAAAGTGTGTTATTGCAACTTGATTCGAGGTCCCAGCATTCCTATTGATAAAATGATGAGGCTCTAAAAGTGACAACAGAAGGACATGGCATGACATAAGCCTTCAGCCAAAGACCTGTTAAATTTGTTTTGTTGGAATAGTTCTCCAGGGTTCATGTTTATATCACCTTTTTGCTCAGTTTTCCTCCAAAAGATGTTTTTATGTTAACAGAACTAGAGCATAATGTTGAAAAGTCATGGAGCGAGATTCATATATTGAGAATTAGTGTTTATCACATGAACAAGATCGAGAGGCTAAGTTGAGCGAGGGGTCTTATCTTCTGGGGATAAGATCGATTAATTCAGTTAGCTAAAACATATCTTGTTAAATGATCTTGATTGAAGAAGGTGTCTGCATATAGGATCATTTCTCTGTAAATAATGAATTATTTCCACAAGTTAAAATCTCATCCTCTCATCTATACTAAGCATCTTTTGGTTTTTCAGGGACCCTGCACCCTTCCTGCCCATCATACTCACAGATACTTCCATACCTTTGCAGCTTTTGCTCTTGTATCACCTTTGTATGTACCAATCATATTCCTCCTAACCCCCCTCCTCTGATACATCCCCCTTTTCATCTGCACAATCTTACTGCCCTAAACCTTTAACCCATTCAATCCAGAAACATAGAGCACACAAAATAGTTTCCATCTTGCTCAAAGTGAAAGCTAGAACTGTGTTTAAGCAAGGGATAAAAATGTGTGAAAAGAAAGAAAGAAAGAGACAGGTGCACTGTCAGACTCAGGGGGGGGGGGGGGTGTAGAAATGGAAAGGCTACATCACAGTGAGAGATAATTTAATCATCTCAAGCAGACTTTCAGAAAGGAAAACAGTCAATGTGTTTTTGCATGCAAAATATACACTGTTGCATAGGAGCCAAAGATTTAATTGCAGAGGCGCAAGGCGCTGTGGGAAATTAATAAGACGCCCTCATTATAAAGTGCTAAATATGGATGTGACATTTCCTCTAAACTTCAGCTTTCAGTTGTTGCTCTTTGCCAGCTGAACTGCGTCATTTATAAATATGAAATGTTCACAAACACGCCGCAAAGCATCAGTGGCTCAAACAGTCATGTGCTGCCTGACACAAATCATTATCGGCTCTCTTTCAAACTCATGCATTTAATTTAAATATGTTCTGAATGACTGTTTCAGACGAATTTGGGGCTAGAAAGACGCTCCAAAGACTTATAGGCCTACTGGTGGAATAGATTTTTTAGGTTTCGTTTTCCTTGTATTTACTGCCCTCATTTGGTGGTTTGTGTATATTGCACGTATCCATTCTGAAATGTCAACATGGACCGGTCTGATTTTACGTCACAGCCTAATGAAATTGTCGAAGTGTCACCTGTCGGCTACATGACCAAGAACCGGGCAGCCCAATAGCCTACATGTAGGGTATAGACCTAAAAAAAAAAAAAAACTTTAGGCTCAAATTCCTATGCCATCACCATATTCAATATAAAAATGTAATGAAGCGCAAAGTTCAGTGTTCATTTGTTCAGTTATATACAACAGTAGCCTACTCATTTTCCCACTAACCTCACTTTTTCATTGCAGTTCAATGGGCTTCCGGGTCCAGCTTTTCCGTTGTTGTCATTGGTTGAACTTACTTGTGCGTGCCAATGATTGGGCTGGCAAAAATGTCCAAAGTAAGGAACTTTATCACAACCCACTGTGTTTAATTGTCGGAGTACTGCTGTGGCGGAAAACACCGACACAATTAGAGGACGTTCGGAACGGAATGCTGCTCTCTCAGTTTACAGTCTTTTCAGCTTATTGTGAATCACAGACTTACAAATCCTCACTTCTGCACACAATTTTAAAATGATACGCATTTGGGCATGTTCGAGCTACACGCGACAGACATCATCAATCATCGCCAATCAAACGCTGATCCGGTGTTTTGCGCATTGCTGATTGGTTGATATGCGACGAGGGCGGGTGCATATCCGTTGTCCTCGAGGCATCAGTGACTTCAGTATTTTACAGAAAAGCTTATGGGACAGAGAGTCAAGAGACACTTACCTGAAACGGTACCCCTACAGGTAGGTGCACGTTTTGACTGCTCACTTTACACCTCTGTTTAAAGTGTTATAGTTTTATTAGGGCTGTAAGCATGCTGTTGGTTGGTACAGTCCTTATGTAGTCTATATCTAACATTTTGCTACAACCACATGTTGCCATGTTGCTGGGACAACACAGGTTTATTCATTAATAACCCATTTATAAGACACACGAAATAAGCTGTACATTTCAACCTTTTGCCTTTATCATTGCAGTGTTTGTATTAAGACTGAGGCTATTAACCCATTATGAAGAGTCTGAAGGCAAAGTTTAAAAAGAACGAGGTAAGAACCATCTTTTTATGCACATAGGAGGCTGTACAGTTGTTGTTGTTTTTTTTAAAGAAAATTATTACACCAGTTTTCTATTTAGAGGTTAGGTCACACAAGCTGTGTATTGACCTAATATTGAATCTGCTCCACATTAAGTAGAAATTCTAAAGATCCCAGGTTGTTAGTATGGGGGTCCCTGGGTTTCAGTGTCACTGAGCAGCAGCAGGAGAGCAGTGCTGTCTCCAGACTGCTGCTATAACCAGAGATCTCAGGTAGCCTTCAATTATTCACAAGCATGCACAGACAATGAAAGAATCCCCACTTTCCTGCTGTCACCCTTAAGATATTTTGTAATTTGTAATATAAGGGTTAGGCTTGCCCACCAGTAAACATTTTTCCTGCTCAATTTATCCAATTGCTTGTTGCATTCTTGTGAAGCGAACTTGCATCCTTGTAGCACTGGGCCCATGCTCCTGCAGACAAAATAGCAGCTGATAGCTTTAGATTAAAACAAATTCAATAAGAATTAGGGTCCTGATGATGCTTTTGGCACATTTACAACTTTGTACTGTTTGTTGCTATAAGGAGAAAATCTACCTCCAGGTTTTTACATAACCACCAACATATTGGTGATAAGGATGATCTTAGGCTGTTGAGCTAGCTGCTCAGGGGGCCTGTTTTATGTAACAGTCAAACTACCCAACTACAAAAATTGTGTATTTATAAATACATGTCCTGTAACATACGTACGAGTTTCACCCGTAACCATGTGTCAATGAGACTTCCATTTCCTTGAAGTATTTCTTACTGTAGATATTAGCTTGTTTTTGTTGCCTACGTACATCCCCTCCTCCCTGTAAATAACAATCCAAACCTGCCGAACAGAGCCAGCTCAGTTTCTCTTCTTTTTGCTGAGTCCTCACATCACACTGGCCTAGCTCTGTAACTGCGGAGGAACAGATCTACAGCACAGTGTACCCTGCCAGGAGGGGGGGGGGGGGGGTACCGTACAGGACCTGACTAAAAACTAACAATTATGGAGAGAAGGATGCTCTGCTCTGGAGAAAAATAAATTAATAGGTTAGAGAAAGGAGGACAGCGAGGGGAGGAAGGAGGTGGCTGTGTGTGAGAGAGTTGCAGGGTACTGAGGACTGGCTATGTGTGTCCCGCTGCTGTATCTCTGCAAGCAACCGAAAGAGGATGACTGGATCACAATTTGGATGCGGAGAGGGAGCTTTGCATTGGGGGTCGTTGCTTTGAGGACAGCAAATAGCTGTGACACAGTGTGCGTATCAGAGCTGTAATGTGGCGCGATATTTACTTCATTAGAGGATTATAAATTCACTGGTATGTAGCTCACTCTGATGTTTTGACCTCTTAAGGGTATGTCAAAGAAAGCAGAGTTCACTGGAGAAACTAATGAAAATGTTTGCGTTTGTTATGTAGCCATTATGCAGAGTGATTGTCAGTCAGGAAACTCAGTGGTGGCTTGGTGCTCAGTAGCTGTATTTAGTGAAGTGTGTGTAAAACCTTGCTAGCTGGTATGGATCCTCAGCAGCCTGTTTTTAGCCTGATGAAGCGACTCTGTCCTTGCTTCAGTCTGCTGCCGCTTCCAGTAGGTATTTTCTCTATCTTTATCCACCACAAAAAGATTGATCACCTTTATCCCTCTTTTTACATTTTTGTATGTCTTTTAGGAAGTTTATTGTAACTTGTACAACTTTTTTATGCATTTCCTTGGTTGTTGCACATTGTTTTTGGCTGATATTTCTGGAGGCTGCATATTCACGTGTTGTTTGTGTGTTGCATGCATGAGAAATGCATTTTGGTATCAGTTTCCATTGGGGCAGTTCAGGGTGCTGACCTGTTCTTTGCCCTGGCCCCCTTCAGAGTCAGGACTGGAGTAAGAGTGATGAGAGGCTCCTGCAGGCCGTGGAGCAGAATGAACCGGACAAAGTTATGGCTCTTATCGCCAAAAAAGGTCTCTGCCCTACCAAGCTGGATGGAGAGGGCAAGTCAGCGTAAGTTGGGTACCTTATTTATCTACTTGAAGGATATGTGCATTCATTAGAAGCTTCCTTATGTATATTTAACTTCTTCTTAGATTTTACTTAGTGTACTTCTACTGTTGCTTCCTGTAAATTAGAAAAGGTGCAATTTCTTTCATTGTAAAGAGTGTAAATTAATTTGAAGATCAAACAACACTGATGGAGAGGTTAGAGTTGTACAGCTCTTTGGAATCAAATTTGATATACAAAATAATGATCCATCCTCACCTATAATGAGTAAAGTGACATGTTTTGTCCTTTATCTTCTTGCAGGTTCCACCTCTGTGCATCCCGAGGGCGGCTAGACTGCCTGGAGGTCATCATCGCTCAGGGAGCAGACCTCAACATCACTGATGGAGCTGGTAGGATATTTTATTATCCAATCAAAGTTTTTTTTATCTCTCAACCCAAGGCTGTTGAATCACACGTGTCATGATCTGCTTATAAATGATCCCAGGCTTCAGTGCCCTTCATCTCGCAGCTAAAAACGGCCAATCGGAGTGTTTAAAGAGACTCTTACAGGTAAAACACAAAATTTCAACATAGTCCGGTTGATGACATAATAATATTAGACTGCTCTTATCACAAATGGTTTATCTTTTGCTGTACTCTGCTGTTGCCTCTATTTTCTTTGACAGGAGAGATTAGCAGTGGATTGCACTGACACCATTGGCAGGACACCGCTTCATCATGCAGGTAACATTGACAGATCAGAACACCAGTTTGGTGACACAACACGTACTCTGCATAGTCAGAGATCCGACCGATTCAACATGGTTTTAAGTTTGTAAAGGAAACACAATCTTAATACTGAACTTTCAAATTCATCCTTAATCTATCATGCACATTTCAGAGAGCATTGATTAGTGATTTCATTTTTACTTCATACAGTACAGGCTATTCTGAATATATTGATCTGATGTTAACCATTACTCTGATGCTTTCCTGCAGCGGTCAGTGGCTGTTTGTCCTGTACAGAGACCCTGTGGGACTTCAAAGCAAGTCTGGATGTCCTGGATGAGGCAAGCTGAAAAGTTTATTTACAGTATTTTGAGCTTGGTTTCACTGATTCTTTATTTATCCTTGCTCTGACCTATCACAGTAGACAACATGATAAATTATCTGTGTTTTCGACCCTTCATGTTTGAATAATCTTGTGTCTTTGTCAGGATGGGGCCACCCCTTTGATCCTAGCAGCACAGATGAGCAGAGTGGAGCTTTGTGTCTTTCTGCTTGGTCGAGGTGCCGACGCAAACATTCAAGACAACCAGGGAAGGTACTGCAAAATGTATGATAACCACCTAGAGAGATTTTCTGCTCCTCCTCTGTGTGATAGTAAGGGTTTGGTGAGGCCGTGTGGCCACCATCCTGTCCTCTAATATCTTACTGCCTGCTCTCATTTCCGTTTTGGCTAAGCTTTCCTAAATGAAAAAACAGAGGGTTTGACAGTGGGAGGCCTGCTGAGGCAGACTTGGTCATGAAGCGGCTTTCTTAGCTAAGCTAGAACCCAAAAAAACTCACACAGGATTATTATCTAAGCAGATGGGTTGTCTGGGTTAGGACATAGGATGGATTCCCATAGAACATCTCTATTGGATGGGCTGGGTTTGGAAGGATGCAGGTCAAGACCTCCAGCAGGGGTCATTTGCTTTAGTTTTAACTTGGACATCAGGATGATTAGAGAGTTATCCCTCAGTTAACAGAGTGAAAAGACCAATATTTCTTCAGGCTGCTATTCAATAGGAAATTTCAGTGCCTTAGATTTGGTGAAGGTGTCCTACAAATCATAATGAAACAAAGCCTTGATTATTTTATTAAAATAAACATTTTGTAGGTTCAAACTTGTATTCAATGGCATTGTTTATTTGCTGTTTAACTTGTAAGTTTATGATATGTTGTAAACAGGTCTGCGTTGATGCTGGCATGTGAGAGTGACAGTGTTGAGACAGTAGAGGCTCTACTGAGAGGTGGGGCCAACACACAGCTGGTTGACGCTCTTGGACACAAAGTCATGGACTACAGCGTAACCACTGGAAACCAAGCCATCATGCATATGTTGGAGAATGGAGCACCTCCAGGTACAGAAGAGGGCCTGTAGTCTTTATTAAAAGCAGTGGTTGCCGTCACAAGACCTTCCCAATTAAGACGTGCTGCCCTTTAGATACTCTCTTTCTCTATTAATTAATAATTACAATTAAAATAAAGTAAGGTTTGTTAAATAAATAAGACGTCCATTTTTATTTATATAAACTGGTACAGACATAAGACACGGGGCAGCAGCGTCTAACAGATTATCAGCCCCATTGTATGACTTCTGTGTGTGTGTGCGCTGCTCTGGATCCTGGCAGTGTCTACTCCCCCAGGAAACTACTGTAATAGAAGGAAGTGGATCAGGAGGACAGCTGGGTGTGATTCTAAAGTGGGTTTAAAAAAAAGTGCAAGGCTTCTTGTTCCACTTTTATCTCCTGAAAGGCACTGTTGATATGTAAAAAACACATGTGTGGCTAGTTTGAAAAGGAGATTTTTGTGCATATGGTGCCTGACCTCCTTAGTTTTAAATAAAACTTTTGAGGTTTCTACAGTTGTTCGTACGAGGCACTAATATGAACTACATGTTCGTGTGTCAGGTTTAAGTTTCTTGTGTCTCTTTCCTCCTGCGTACATAGCTGCTGAGGGCGCAGACGAGGAGGTAATGTTGCATAGCCGTGTGATGGATCACTCCCTCTATCAAATGAGATCATGGCCTTCTTTGGCTGATCATATTGTGCATGTCTTCAATATGAGGTCATTGTTTTTGTGTTCTGCTTTCTTTTCATTGGCTTGCGGTCCCCATTTGTTGCCGACACTGTGTCTTATCTAAGTTCCCTCTGTTTTCCCCGTTTTTAAGTTGAGCTTGACCTCTGCTTGTCTGTGATCAACCTCCCACCCCCACGCAGCACCCCCAAGTTCCCTCAGGTGCCTCATCCATGCTAGGGGGCACAGCCCCCCGCAAAAGGAAAGCTCCTCCACCACCCCGCTCTCCTCTTCAGGTACTGTGAGAAACCTCTCAGTGGATGGAAACATTATGTACACTTTAAGTATAAATAAAGGGTACATTGACCTCCTTCGTTGGTTCCCTGCCTTCAAGCAAATGGCACAGGCTACTATCAATACTTACAGTGTATTGTGAACTATGAAATGAATCGATTTTCCATAGAAGAATTTCTCATTAACATAATGAGAAAGTAGAACTGTTACGTTCAGGATGAATCAAAATATTTGTCTCACCTTTACATTGCGAGTCCCAGTCGACCAATTAAATAAAAAAGAACCAAATAATACTACATGACTGAAAACAAGATACAACTGTGTCCATATTGATGTCAATTTAAAAATCATCTCTTTGGTAGTAACTGTCTGATACAGCATTAGTCCTCAAGAGATTTACCAAAGAATAATGTGTCTTTAATAACGTTATTCATTCTATTCTGTCCCTATCACAAAGATCCAGGCTTTGCCCCCATCCCCAAGGCCCAGGAGTCCAGCTCCACCTGCCCAGTCCCCCAGGCTCCAGTCCCAGTTGCCTTCTCCACAGCCTCTTGAAACACAGCAACCAGCCCAGGTGAGTACGATTCACTTTCTCTTGGCTGTGCTTGCTGTTTGAACTTCATTAATATTTAGACTATTAGCGTCCCTTATTTAATGTGGTTTTCCGTGCTAGCCAGAGGATGAAGAGGTGTTTGAGGAAATACGACGGCTGCGGCTTGAAAGAGGCCGTCTGCTTCAGAAGATCAAAGCCTTGGAGCAGCAGCAACAGAGCGCCCTCTCTGCCCTGGAGGAGGTACTGTTCTGTATGTAAATGTATACCTCTGCGTTAGAGCTCTGAGTGTACGAGAGACAAGTACATTTTTGTGAAGGACCACCATTTTTACACATATATGTACAATTCAGTTGTCCACACTAAAACAGCGTCTTGAGGAGGCAGAAGCAGAGAGAGACAATCTCCTTAAGGAGCTGAAGGGATACAATGGCATTGGGACCAGTGACTCTGAGGACATGGATGAAATGTTGGACTTCCCAGGTATGCTATCTGGCTGACTATCTGACTGTGAATAAGCACTTCCAGACCCTTAAAGAAAGCATGCATGTTTTTCCATGCATGAGTTAGTGTATTGCTTTGTGTCTGACCACATCTGAAGTACACAGATTTCTTTGTTGTTGTGGTTGCTCTTTCATTTTCCTTCTAGAGAAGCTGCTCTCCAAGCGCTCAAGAGCCTCTGCTTCCCCAGATGAGGCCACTTGTGAGGAGGACACTGACTCGGCCCACCCCTCTCTAGCCCCTGCAGACCCAAAGATTGTTGCTGAACTGCGCAATCAAATAGAGGAACTTACCTCACAGAACTCTGAGCTAGTTCTCAAAGTGCAGGTAAGGTCATGAGAGTGAATCATGCCAAGATACAGACATAATGTTTACACACATAGGAAAAAAATCTTGAAAGTGAGATGTTCATTAAAAAGCACTCAAACCTTTTTTTTTCCACTGGTGAAGTGAACAGTTTACGGTTCGTTAGCTGAAGATGAAGAGACTGGTTCAGAGATGTTGAATGTCCCTGACTCAAGCATTAGTCATGACCACTTTAAGTCTATGACCGTGTTCTCTGGTACTCTGCTGTGTTAAGGCAGTGTTCACACAAGTATAAATAGAACAGGACAGCATCAGATGCAGACATGGGGGCATATTGTAGACATACTTCACTGAATGTGTTATTCTGGTTTGAGCAATGAAGGATGATTTTTTTCTTTAAATATTTAGTTGTATTGCTTCTCATTCAACTCAATAAGAATAGCGGTGACTGAGGCCAAGACTGTCAGTTTAACCTGCTGTTTGAAAAGAGAGTCAGACAAGAATGTAGGGCAGTTATATGAGAGCAAAGAGGGTCTGAGTCTGTGCGGGAAGACAGAAGTTAAGTACTAACTAAAACCTCCTTCTGAGAATTAAATGACTAAGACTCCATAACTCATATTGACGTAAGTAAACCAGGGAGTACTATTAATGGATTGTTTAGCCAGGGGGTTTGTATTCACTTTAAATTTGAAATAAATCAATGATGAAATAAATCCTTCATCACAAATTTACCTTCCTCCCGTGTTCAGATGCTGGAGATGTTTGAGAAGGATGACACAGACATGTTGACTTCCAGCTCGGACTTTGTGCCCCTGGTCCAGTACGAGACCCTGAGGAAGGAGTTTGAAGACCTTCAGGAGCGTCTCTCTCAGACCCAGGCTTCAGAAGAATTGTCCAGTGTGGTCGAGGAGTGGTAAAATTGCTTTGTTTATACATTCAGGCACATCTATGACTAGAAAACTGAAAAAGCCATTACAGGTCACATTCACTTGAACTCATCTGTATTAGTTGAGTCCTTAACATGGAGATGTGCAAACCTTTGCTAATATCAGTTGTAAAATCTCAGCAGTATCTGCTCAAGGCCTCTGTCAATGCCATTTTTAAAAATGCTGAGCATTTACATTTTCCCTGCAGCATGCAGGAGGCTGAGGCGTAGGTGCAAAAAATGAAAGCATGCCATCATTGATTTCTATGGGGGTCTTGGGTTGATATTTCTCATTTTTTAAACATTGTTGTTGCTGAATACCTGCATAACAAAAGAGTCTAAAATAAAATATTTCTTTTTTAGGTTTGAGTAAAAATATTTAGTTGTGTTTAATTTTTATATTTTACCTTAAGTAATGTTGATAAGTTTTTGTATGTATATCAATTACCGGAAGTTGGCAGCAATAAAAAAATGCTAACATTATTTGATTTTTCTTTTCTGAAAATTAAGAATTTGATACATTTATCCATCTAATATATTGGTTAAAAGAGTACCTTTCAGTTTTTGTACTGTTAATTAATAAACAAATGCCGGTTGATAAACTGTTACCTGACAAAAGTATAATTAATTAACTGATGGTATTATTACAAAATCGGTCAGTACACAAATGACTCCTGGTAGTGTTATGGTTTGATTTAATTTAGGATATTCTCATGCAAGTTTGTTTTTAAGAAGAAAAAAAAGGCCTCTGATGATCTTGTCTTGTTCTGCAGTGCTGATGAGAAGTCTCAGAGTAGGAGTTCAGATGCAGAGAGTATCAAATCTTTGAAGGAGAAGCTGCGAGGCCTTACAGAGCAATTGGCGTCCTCCCAGTCAGAGCTGGAGGAGCTGAAGGAGCAGATGCGCCTTGGGGTGCTTTCAGTGGAGTGTGGTGAGAGGGATACTGAGGTGGCAGGTGGTGGGACTGAAGTCGTGTCTGGGGCTGCAGAGGAGGGTCCCAGCCAAGAGGCACAGCAGCTGAGAGCGAGGGTGACGGAGCTAGAGGAGGAGCTAGCTAAGAGACGGGGCGAGGCAATGGTCCAGAGCAGCCAGGACAGTGACACAATCAAACAGCTGATGGAGAAAGTGAAGGAACTCCATGCTGCTCTGGCCCAGAAACAATCTACAGGGAAAAACGAGAGAGACGGCGAAGAAGAAGAGACTGAAACAGTGAAGCTCCTCGAGCAAAATTGGATGACCTGGAGGCAAACCTGGCAGATAGTAGGACGTCAGCAAAAGAAGTAGGAACGGCAGGAGAAGGAGATCGGGTCCGACGTCTACAGGAGCGTGTGGCAGAGCTGGAGGGGCAGCTGAGAAAGAGTGTGCCCCGCTCCGAGTTGGAGGAGGTGCAGGTGACTCTGGGGCTCCAGTGTGAGCAGCTTGCCAGGGAACGGGCGGAGGTTGCTAGAAGGCTCAACGTTGCTCTCATTGATCTGGAGAGACTCAGGCCTCCTCCAAGAACAGAGGAGGAAGAAGAGGAAGAGGAGGAGGAGCATTCAGAGAGCTCGGAGCCCTCAGTTATAACAGGTGTGCTACTTTAAGTAAGGTTTAAAAAAGGATAAAAGACTGACTTTCTTTGTATTTTCTTAATGACCACACTTCTGTCCAAATAGATCCCTCCAGATGTTCTCTGGCAGCTGTAAGAGAGGAACTGGAGGTGGCGAGGCAGGAAGCGTCCCAGGCCCTTGACTGCCTGTGTGCTGAGCGAGAGGGTCGGGCACAGGATGCCCTACAGTTGAAAGACGCAGTGCCTCTGTCAAAGCATAAGGAGGCGCTGTCTGCAGTTTCAGAGCAGCTGGCTCAGACTTTGCAGGAGCTCCAGGAGGAGAAGACCCTGCGTCGTCAGGCTGAGGAGCAGGCTGCAGACTCGAGGCCAAACTGGAGGTCATGCAGGATGCTGTACCTAAAGGGGAGCACGAGAAAATCAAGGTCAGAATGGGAAATGTCAGCTCTTATAATAAGACTGATCTTGGATAGTATTGGAGTATAGGGGTGTTTGGGTTCTTTTAGAAGATGAAATATTCCTTAATTTCATGTAAGGCCCATACTTTACATAAGAAGTGGACATTCCATATGCTTTCGAAAGTGAAGCCAATGTGGGAGTGCCATAAACCTGCATTCTTTCTAATGTGGCCGGCTTGGAACTGGAAAATTGTATTTATTCAGAGGAGGATATGACACAACTTCTAAGATGGTTTATATCCTCAGTAAACTTTTCCCCTTTGAGAAATAGTCCCATTTAGAGAAAATGAGACAATACGGCAGCATGTGTTTGAATGTGTGGATAACTGTGACAAGTAGCTCACAAAGAGACCTGTAAGTCAGGTTAGAGACATAACAATATGTATCCACCCTGTGGTCCGAGGTGGTCATTTCAAACTCAAAGCTACAAAATGAGGAACTTTTAAGATACAATATGTAGAAATAAAAAATATACTCACCCTATGTTATATATTTTTTTTGTTGAGTACTTACATTGAGTACTCAACGAGTACTCACATTCAGTATTCAAATATTTCCAACAGTTATCAAAGCCAGAGAAATCCTTAATTTTATTGTTGTAATGGGGCATGTATTGTTGTGGCTGTCATGACAGACACAACATTTGTTGCCATGAAAACACCTGATGCTAGTCAAAGACTGCTACATAAGGGAGTAGGAACTGCTACTGAAAGCTGCTGTACTTCTGCTGTATTCACTGTTGTGATCAAAACATAATGTATATTATACTTGGAAACTTTATCTTTACGGTAAACATATTCTCTTCCTCGTTTCCATTTTCACCCGTTCTTCTTGACTACAGTAGGTAGTAGGGGGTAGCAGAAAGAAACATTGTCATGGCAGCGGAATGTACATACTGTGCGTTTAATGGCAAAACTAACTATGAATAATTGGTGATATCAAGGTAGCTTTGTTCACTTCTTTAATACAGTCAATGGTTACACCATTTCTCAATGAGCTCCTGCATCCTTAATAAGATATCCTAGTGGAAAGGAGGAGATGGAGACACACCAGTACCTTGTGTTAAAATGGCTGCCCATTATGTGTGATTTAGTTTTCAAAATATAAATGACCCATTATGAAGAAGCAGATTTTAAATGGGGAAACATTATCAGCCTGTCAGCTAGTAGCAGGTATTTGTTTGCTGATATCAAAAGGTTGTGTAGGTAAAATTAAGAAAGGGACAAAAGGTAAACTGTTGATGACTAATCATTGATTTCCAGTGAAAGCAGAGAATATTATTGCAGATAACAGTATGTTTTTCTATGACAATGCATATTATGGTAATTAATTGCCTTTAAAATGTTTAATTATTTTAATTATGTGAGTTAATATGTTTGAGGGTTTTCTCAGGCCTGTTTAGGAGCTTGTGTGTTGTTTACATATTGCTTAAATGATCAGCATTACAAGCAGAACATTTCTGTTTTTTAAAGAGGTAATCAGGTAATCCTTTTGCTTCCTGCTTCTCAGGCAGAGCTCCAGCACTCCCTGCAGGCCAGTGAGAGCAGTGCAGCAGCAGCTCAGGAGGCTCTGAGTGATAAGGAGATGGAGCTGCGAGAGCTGAAGTCCCAAAAGGCTGCAGAACAGGGTCTGATCTCTAAGGAGGACCATGAAGCTCAGCGGCTCTCTTTGCAGGCTGAAATCAACGCCATCACGGCCCGTTTCAACGATCTCACTCGCAAACATGAAAAAACCTGCACTGAGGTAAGTGTGTTTGCATTTATGTGTGTACCTTCTCAAATCCCTTCTAATGCCATTTAAAGTTGCATTAGATCTTATTGTGTTCACCACAAAGTGAGTCGTGTTCCATGAAGGCCTCTTTATGGCCTCTACATTATTCATATGTGTATTACTTTCTCTTTTCAGTGCGTCCCTCTGTTTCATCAATCCCTGTGAATCCTGTATGTGCCCACTGAAGTACTTTATATGTGCATTATAAGCTCCTAATGATTTTCTAAAAATAACTTCCCCATTAACTGGGTAGAGGCAGTCAAACTTTCACCTTGTAAACTGCGTAAGGCCCCGTGTCCACCTAGCGATTCTTCCGGGCAGAAAAGTGCTTGTTGTACGCTTGGGAGTGTTTGTGCGCTGAGAAGAAAAGCACTGCACTTCCATCCTGTTTCTATGACAACAGTTGGTTGACAACGGCCGCTGTATGACCGACACGGCTCGGTTACTTTATGCTGCATGTTTTTATATTTGAGATCGTTCTTTACCTCAGCAGACACAGAGCAAAGACAATGTGAGCACAACATACCAAACGTAGGAGGCTAAAATACAGGGAATATCATACATTTTGAAAAGAGCGCCCCTGACGTCAACAGTGCCTTTCTGAAAAGTTGTTAGATTTTCAATTTGAGCGCTCGGAGCGGCCACACCAAAACGGCAGAGCGCTTGAAAAAATTACGCTGGGCGCTGCGCTTTTCATCCAAGTGTTTTTTTTCTGCTGCGAATCCCTCTACCCATTGAAAACAACTGAAAAAAGAACGCTGGCGCTGAGAAAAAAAGACGCTAGGTGGACAAAGGGCTTAATCTTTTTTCCAACAAATTAGTTATGGGATATGATGACTGAATATTTATTTTAAAAACATCTCTGAGATGACCACATATTCTTTCATGTAACATTGTGCTGGGAAGGGAGGCTGTATTGTCATAAAAACATACTACTCTGATTTTTTGCAATACCTGTGCTTTTGCAATAAACAGCACAGGTAAAACATCTAACATTCATCCATTTCCTTTTTTTCCTGCAATAATGTTTTTATGTCTGCATTAAATTGTGAATATTACTTCCTATTTAAATACATGGTTCTGACTCTACTTCTACATAAGCAGAAGGCCTCTGTTTTTGAGTCATTGCATAGATAGATTTTCCTTGCTGTGGTGACAGGTTGCTCTTATACTGGTCTAGGTGTTCCAGGTGCAACGGGATGCTCTCTTTAACAAAAGTGAGCGGCAGGTTGCAGAGTCCCAGCTGGCCACTGTGCAGCAGCAGCTAGCCGAGTTACAGGCCAAATCCAGCCACATCCAGGAGCTCCACAAGGACATCCAGGAATCCCAGGGCCTGGTCAAGGAGAAGGACCGCAAGGTGAGGGTTCTGCTCCATAAGGTTCTGCCTTTAAATTACCAGTGAGTTTGTTGAACTGATGTGTCTGCCTGTCTTCAGATAACGGAGCTGTCTAAGGAGGTGTTTCGACTAAAGGAGGCCCTGGGAGCTCTGTCACCTCCTCTGGGCATCACCTCCTCAACCTCATCCACTCATCATGGGAACCCAGGGCAGCAAGTGGCTTGGCAGAACAGGATTGCCATACTAACACAGCAGCTACAGGTGAGGAGAACATAATAAAAATACTTTTTCTTTTTTTTTCAAAATTGAAATATACAGATACGTATGAAAAACTCCAATCCGTACATGACAGTAACATTTTGTCTTTGCAGGACTGGGAGAGAAAGCATAAACAGGTGGTGGCTATATACCGCTCCCATTTATTGGCAGCTGTCCAGGTCAGTTAAATGTGCACATACACGCCAGTGTGCAAAGAGAGACTAAAATCTTTGTTGTTAGAGGAGGGGGGGGGGGTCTGCATGTCTGTTTTAATGAAATGTGCTATGAACAAATAGCTGCACTGCCAATAAGTCTGCTGAATTTGACTTTGCCCCTGTCTGTGGAGCAGACAATAAAGAGTGAAAATGATCTGTCATCCATCTCTGCTTACCAGACAAAGTGGATGAAATTTCAGAAGAGGTGCAGGGGAAAGGGAGATCACTTTCATCATATTCCACAACCAAGGTGTAGACATTAGCGTTTTCTTTTTGTCGTGTTGGTTGTAATGAGAGATCATTCAGGTGTCGTTGACCTTTAAGAGAACACCGGCAATTTAGTTGCTTCCTCTGCATACTTTTTGGCAAGACAAGTTTTTCTGTGCTGTTTCTTTCACACCAGTCATTAGGCCCTCATCTGGTCTCTGGTCTTTGTATTTGAACCTTACCAGTCTGATCTCTACTTCTGATGCACCTGGCTTTTATCAGGGAAGGCAAGGTCCACGTTTTGGGGTCATTGACCCTCGTGTTCCTGCTATGTTGAAGCATTTTTTTTTTTTCAGTTTGACCCATTTTAAGGTGTCTGGTAGCAGTGAGTACAGAGTGTACAAGATCACAGAATTACTTTTGTTTCACCCAGGTAGAGGACTGAAGCATCACTGTTGATCAGTAGATTTATCAACTTATTGGTTCATTTGGCAGATTTGAAGTCCGATCTAGGGACTGGCATCGGAAATTATCTTAGGCTATACATTCTGTAGTATGTGGCATCAGCTTACTTGCTGCATACTTGTCCCTATATAAAGAAACATGAAATAAAGACATTTGGAATTACTGTTTCCATTGGATACAGAGTCCAAGACAAATTTCCCTACGGTGACATTAACAGTAACTTTAGTAAATGAACCAATAAAGAAACTGCATTTTCCTTTATTGTTTGTCGTTTCCTTTCAGGGCCGAATGGATGATGAGGTGCAGGGCCTACTACTCCAAATCTTGAGAATGTCACCGCCGGGACACTGAACCTTAAAACATCTGAAAACACTCTCCATATCCGGCCTCTATACAGGTCAGCGTCAAGCTGCTCCTGCACAGCAGCTTGTAATGATTAGTATCATGGAGAACTTTTTCGGAAAGCCAAATACTTCTGATCTGTGTTAAGGCATAGCTGCATGTGTACATTACAGTAACCTAAACAACAACCTTAAGGGTAACCAGACAGTGAAAGAGGAGCTGTAGAGTGCTTTCATGGCTGGAAAACTTTAATTACAGCAGCCTGTAGTTAAGGTTTTTTTATGGTGGTAGGAGGGGAATGTGATTTGAGTCTATATTAAGAAGATAGAAATGATTGTGTGAGATGTCGAATGTTTTATAGAAGATTGTTTTAATAAAAAAGAAAACTAAGTTACTCTACTGTTGATCCTGTTTTTTTAACCCTGCTTCATAAACTGGTTCTCTAGGTTACATCAGCTTTTACATTCTGCCTCACATCTATTTTTGGATGATGGAAATCTGAAGTCTTAATTTGGCTGCAGCATGTGTACATGAAAAGTCAATCAGTGGGGCTAAAATTTTAAAATGCTACAGATATGAAGAATCACAAATGACAAACCATTCTCCTTAGTTACCCTCTTTTCAATTATTTTTTATTGACAAACAAAGAAGAGAAGGTCCAATAAAAATTCCTGAGAAAGCAAAAAGGAGATCTGAAATAATCAAACATTTGGACCTCCCTAAAGGCCTTGTTGTTCACCTCATCTCTCTGTGCATTCATGAGGCTGCAGCCCAGAACAGTGGAAGGCCTTAATAAAGATATGTTTCTAATTACACGAAGAGAAATGCAAAAAGCATATGGCATATCTCCAGGAAGATTTCTGAGTATTAGATTGCCAGAAATTGGCTAGAAAAGCAGAATTAAATCACTGAGCATTAAAGACAGAAGTGGGAAAAGGATAATCAATACAGTCATGTATTCCCGAGCTGGGACAAATAATGGATTTAATTTAATGTCCAAATCCCCAGTCTTTCTCATCAATCACTGCAGACCGATGCTATTTATGGCTTGCATTAAAACTGAGGGGATTGTTGTGAGAGACGCACACAAATACAACAGCATTCATGACACAATAAGACGTATTAAACACACAAAACAAGAGCAGCTTACATCACTGTTTACAAGAATAAGAGCTTAATCATCCTGAAGTTTGTCCAGTCATTCATTGGCATGGCATGAAAACTAGTGTTTTGCATTAGGAGCATAAATGCATATTATATACACTGGCACACGCCTGTCTCTGTAGTCTTTAAGGCACTGAAGTAAGTGAGGCTGTGGAAATACAGGCATGGATATACTGAGTGTTTTTATAGAGAAGTCCTTTTAACTCAGGATAGAGCGTTCATGTTAGTGCAGTTTGACCAGTAACAGGTTCTCAGGCTTACACAACACTTTAAATTATTAACAGCCCTTACAAACACAACACAAATGACTCATATTTATGGTAAATGTGACTAAACTTCCCACTTTCAAGTCAATAAACTCCATATCCAGTCAGCTGTTTACATAGAGGTTTTGTATTTAGAGGAAAAAAGGCAGAAGAATGTGGCTAATTCACCCAGCACTGACTCGTGTTAAGGGGGTTTCCTTTGTGCCATCTCAGAGTCAGGTACTGAAGACCTGAAAATAACCATGAACAGTCTTTTTTTATGTGTAATAATCCGATTTTTTTCCCCCAGTTGTCTCTTATAGTCCAATTTCTTTTGCAGAAAGACCTACACAATATCCTCATATAATCTGAGTTTGATAACAGTTTGTCCCAGATATTACATCACATAAGTTTGTCCTTGTGATGTCCGTTACTTGTTCAGTGGGCAACGGGTGTGATGTTTCTGGAAGCACTTCATCGATAGAGGCATGTAGGACATTTCCCATCCGTGGATCAAATCCTGATTTGATTCTCTGAAGTTCAGTCTTCAGTTGACGTTGGTAGATAATGATTTTCACTGGATAAAAAATATCAAACTGCAGAGTCTGTTTTCTTTTTCTTTTCTTTTTTAGCTTAGTACTGTAACTGCATGCTGAGAAGTTTGTGCCAGATGAGGGATCCTTTTTGTTGATCCTGACAGTCCAAAAGCAGAAGACGTACAGGAGGATGTCAGAGGCTTTGCTCCGTTTAGTAGAATTGTTTACGGAAAAAGTTATCAGAGTTATCCATTCTTCCATCCAAACATCCATCTGGGATAAATGCTTTTAAGTTATGTTTTTTGTAGATTTTGCATGGGGTAGTCTAGTATCCATCTGTGACATGTAAAAACAAAGAAGATCACATTTTTGAGAATGAATTAAAGCTCATTTTCAGGCTTGGATGAGATGATAATAACAACCAGATAGTGTACATGCTCTTGAAGACATGTGCTTTAGCAGAACATGCTGTATATCAGATTAAGGTTAAGATTAAGATTTACTTTTATTGATCCCTGCAAGGGGAAATTTCAGTTTTTACACTCTGTAAGTCATGAACACACACATAGGCTGAAGTATATACACACACATGCAGAAACAGGAGCCTATGGACATGCACTAATGGAGAGAAGCCAGAGTGACGGAGCAGCCCACAACGGGTGCTCCTGAGCTGAGGGTGGGGAGGGGGTTCGGTGTCTTGCTCAGGGGCACCTTGGCAGTGCAGGTGATCTGGCACCTCTCCAGCTACCAAACCAACTTCCATATTTGGTCCGCCTATCAGTCCAGTTCTTCTTTTTCTTCAACAAGTATTTTAAAATATAAATGAAGGTTTACCATCAACTCCGTATTATCAGCCTGATTATTTAAGGAGTCCTGTAAAGACAGAGTTCACTGCATGCTCACCATCACATGCAGGGTCACATGACTCACTGTTTCTTCCTGACCACCTGTTTGAGGTGGAGCTCGCTCTCTGCTGCTACAATAGGCAGCTCATTCTGCAGGTGGTATGAGATGAGGTGGCTAATGCTCTCGAATAGCATGTCTTTGGTTCTGACCTGTAAGGAGGACAGCAGGAGAGAGGACAATGTCAGTTACTGTGTTCACTTCATGGAGTACACACTCAATCTAACACTCAAAAACACCACATAACTCACTGCCAGACTCACCACTCCCTCAGGGTCCACAAGCAGCAGATGTTTGGGGAGACCACAGTGCATTCCGGTTAGCACATACTGTCCTTGGTTGGTGGTGCTCTCCCGGACCAAGAAATCTCCATCCCGGACCAGGAGTCTCTCTGCATCTCGCCTGCTCATGCGGCTGTGGTACCACGCCTCCCTGCGGAGCTGCTCCTCATTTGGGGCAACAGGAGCTCGACGACGTGGAGGACTGGGCCACTGGTCCTCCATGACTCGAACTCCTCCTGCTGTAGTGGATACACCGGACCCGGCAGCTCCACCACAGGCCTCGTGGAGCTTCAGAGCATCCTCAAAGGGCCCTACAGGAATTAATGATGGTTCACAAATACCAATACAGTCTATCAGCTATTCTCAAATTTGAAAAATTGTATCCCCAGTATTAAGTGTGTGTCCCTTAAAGACTTACTCATGTCAAAGAGGTCCTTTTTTGGGCTGTCCAGGGCCCTGGACCCTCTGTGTCCATCAGGACCCATGGCTAGTGCTTCCAGATTTTCCAGACTCTGGGTGTTAACGTACTGATGCTCTTCATAATCTCTGCCGCCTGGTGCCTGTCCATCTGCACACAGGTACCCATCTGATGTCAGACCTGCAAAGAATCATAGTCTTAATGCATGTGTAAGCTCTTAAAATGTGTATGTATTTGCGTGTGTTTTTATTAACTATGGTTGTGGTTAACTTAAACAGACATTAGTCTTTGCCCCCCTCTAGTGGCTAAAATCAAAGCTTTACATACTGACTTCTGTCACACACCACAGACTCCTTACAATCTAGTTCTATGTAAGATCAAACATTGTATGGGTGTATTTCAAATTCCACTGGATGACGCCTATAAGAAGAAGACATCTTGTCATGGCCAGAAAAAGGATCCAAACAAGCTTCTGTCTTGGCAGGACAATAATCTAATCCCATTGATGGCACAGTGCATTCACTACTGGGCTTGATACACAATAGTTCACAATATCATCCACCATTTGTGAGAGTTAAAAGTACACACATCTTTATACCCTAAAAGTCAAACCAAAAACTTAAGTTTAATTTTTATTAAACCCTTTTTCACTATCAACTACAGTAAGAAATCCTCTCTCCTTAATTTTCAAGCAAGATTGTTGTCCCAATTGTTATACCTGTGTTTTCCCACAAGGGGTCTCACCTGAGCCGCTGGTTGTCTCTGTGTCCCAGTGAAGTTCATAGCACAGCTGACCAGGAGGATAAGATGCTGGCTCCCTCCTGGCTGGTGAGCCCATCTATGAACACACATACAGCAGGAAAACAAATACATTTGTATCAGAAAACCTAAATGACAAGTCTCCTGTCTCTGCATAATGCAGTTTTGGAGCAATCTGTTTGAAACGTTAGCTAAAGCCTGTCAGCATATTTTGAACAAGCTGCTATAAGAGAGAGACAGAGGGATTTCTCTCACCATATTGGCAACAGAGGAGCCGCTCTTTATCTAATCATTTCTGTCTTTGGTAGTTATGGTGTAGACTTGTCAGTAGGACAGTTATGGCATTTATGTTTTTTGCTTTCACTGCTTAATTTAATGTAAATAATACAGGGGAGCAGTAGGAAAACATATCAGTTCAGTTCATCAAGTCCTGAGTCAGCTTCTGTTGAGGGTTGGTCATTCACTCCTTGATAATAACCAGACCTCTCATAACATCTGTGATTGCATTAGGTGGCATGGTTGCATCTCATTCTTACATATTAGGCAGGCTTTTGCAAATAATCTTAAAAAATTGTCCAACACAGCTAAGACAACCACACGAGAATCCAGAACCTGACCGGACTTTCTGTTGTTTAAAAGTCCTGACTGGATATTTACCTGTGCTGCTGTCTTGCTTGCCTGTGGTTGGGTGTGGATGTGACCCAGCATTGATCCACTGGTCCTCAGTCTGGAGTCCACCACTCCTCCAACAGGAGGCTCCTTCCCTGGGATGCTGTTGTAGTAGTCATGTTCAGAGGACTCCTCCTCCTCCCCCCACATCAGCTCTTCTGTCCTGACAGACCTGAGGATGACCAAATTATAAAAAGGACTATATCATCTTTTAATGCACAACACACTCTAAAATAAGAGCGAAAACATCATTGTTCTGCTATAACATGAGTTTTAGAATGTAAACTACTATGCTGATATGTATGGATTTATTGTAACTTGTCATAGTGATATTATTGGTAATGATAATGATGAGGAGATCTGGGTTCTCAAATGAATGCAGTCTGATCAGATGACATCTCCACATCCGAAAGTGATCAATATTAATCTGCCAGAGATTTATATAGATCAACAGAGCTGCTGATGCTTCTGGCAGCAGGAAGTAAACCAGAATAGAAAAGTCTAAACAGTCTCCTGTTCCTCTTGTCTTTCTTTGCATTGGCATCATTGCAAAAAAATTTGGTTGAAATGGTGAGAAGTTCTGTGAGGACCAGTTTTATTCAACAGATTTTGAGCACAACACAAACAAATTTTGCTTCTACTAATAAACAGCAGAGAGACTCATAGTTGTTAAGTAGGTCTGGTTTATGAGGTGGAAATGACATAAACAAACAAAACATATCTTTCTTCTTCTTCTCTTTTTGCTGTTCTTTTTTTGAAGTTCAAAGCTTCAACGTTTTTTTTTTTACATTCTCCGATAACAAGGAGATTAGAACAAGAACAGGATATTCTTTATTAATCCCTCGAGGGGAAATTCACATTTAGAATTTTGTTCTTTGGCTTGTTGTGCCTTTATAGGAGAGATAGGACAGTGGATAGATTCCAAAATCAAGCCACAGGTCAGACCTGAACTTTGGCCGCCTGCCTGCCTTCACTTTTACACTGCATTGTTGACACATGCATAGGCTTAGTTGTAGCTGTCAGAATGTTGCTATTGGGAAATATTATATAAGTTATCTCTGCAAAGCATGAAGTTTGTCTTAATAAGGATTTTCTTTAGGTGTCACAGTTCCACAGATGACAAAGATTTGAAGAACAGGGACAAACAAACTTTGAAGAAAAAATAAAAGTTGTTATGCTAGTATCTTACCTGTCCATAGATGCCATGGTTTTGGGAGGACTGTGTAGGTACTGTTTGAACTGCAGTTCAAAGGCTTGTCCAATAGTGCTGATGACATTCTGCGCTAAACCGTCTGAGCACTCCAGGATGTGACACGCTGAAGGGGACAGAAATAAAAGATTAGTAGAGTAAATCTGGCCCTTAAAAATTGAGAAACGCCTTCTTGAGGTTAAACAAAGCGCAACAACATTTTGTCCTAATTTTAACATGTCTGGTTTATGAAATGGATGTTTGTATAATAATGTTTTACTGCAAAATTACTTTTTTGGGTTGACTTTTGGATCTTACCAAAAAACTAGTAAAAGTTAGGGATTCTTCCAAAGGAAAAGCTTCTTATCACATATCTTTGGAAATCAAGATCAGTATGTAACCAAATTTGGACTGGATGTTCACAGACCGTTATTGATTGCAACTAAGCAAAGTTTTCATCAATAACATTGTCAGTTTTTGAAATGTACACAATTAAAAACACACATAGTCTAGGGCAAACCTGAAAAGTGAAACAAACATTCAAAAGGTATATATATCAAAATCTGTCATTTTTAAAGTAAGGACACCAATCTTAAAAACTATGTCATTTCTTATCTTCTTGAGACTGTCATCTTATAAAAGTAAGATTTTTGACTTTTCACTTCACCCTCTGCTTCCACCAGGCCCTAACAGGAAACTAGTGGAGCCAGCATTTCAGGGCGACCTGAACTATGGGGCCCCATTTGTGTATCGTGGTATGTGTAAAGAGAAGACCACAAACAACAGATTAAGACAAAAAAAATGATACATAATATAATTAAATATGCCACAAAGGGCATTAGTTTTACCATCATCATCATTAATAATATGGAGACCATCATCATCATCAGTAAGGTCGTAGGTGTTCATTCCACTGTGGATGTTTTTTTTATTTATTTGTTACCATTTATTGCACAGGATCGGAAGAGAGGAATGGAAGTGTTGGCAAGCGCATGCAGCAATGGGCCGAGGTCAAATTTGAACACACTGCCACCGTGACTTATAGCGGCTGTACATGAGGTGCACGCTAACCACTGAGCTTAACTGGCACCTCAATGGGGCTGATTCTTAACCGTGTATATTCTTAATCAACCCTGTAGTAAATTTAATGGTAAGGTCCACTTTTAATCTTTTTGTTTCCAAAAGGCTTAGGGTGAACCCTCTCAAGACATACCTCTCTGATTCACCGGGTCTTTGGCCACATACGCAACATAATCAGGTGTGTCCTGCAACAAACAAGAGGAAGAATTCAATTAGACCAGATAAATTATTATAACTAAATTAAAGCCCTCATTGATTATTGGGTCATGAGATTGGAAACCAGTTTAATGTAATCCAGTAAGATATGTGCAGTGTGCCAGAACGTCAACATCATAAAGGAGAGCAGGCAGTGAACGGCTGCACTCACCGTGTCGCCCCCTGAGGCAAAGGAGATAGACTGCATGGGATGGTGTGCTATCACCTGGAAGAGGCAAGTGGACAAAACTGAGGCAGAGTTTTGACAAGAATCTACTTAAAAATCTGCGAGTCATCTAGTTGTGGACTACAAAACAAATGGAAAAAAGACTTTAGATTGTAAATTATAAGATGATTAAATGTGATGAGTTTAAGATTGTTATTGTAACTGTTTACTTTTCCAGTAACTATTCAAAAAAAATAAAATGTATGTTTTCAGGACTTCAATTAATATGTGAGAGAGAGGAGGAAACTCTTTCATATCAGTCGTAAAAATATTTGTGAAATGATAGTAATTTAGCTTTATACCTGTCTCGTAGTGGGGATAAGAAGACCAAGTCCATCTATGGAAATATTCACTGCAATACTCATGCCTGCAAATCTCAGGTTAGTCTTTCCCATGATGGACTGGAGAGCTTTGTTAAAAGCCTGAATGGAAAAAGGAAAAAAATGAATACTGTCAAAATCAAAATAACATTAAAAATTGACATGATTCCAAATATTAGACTGTGTTAGCTGTATTTGACTGTTTTATAGACAACGTTTCTTTCATAGTCACAGTCTCATAACCACTGCAGTACGTTGAAATGATGCCCCAGTTTAGTAATTATTAATGACAGTGTAATGCAACATGCACAGATAGAATAAAGTAACTATCAACCTTCTTCCTCCAAGCTCCCTTTCCTCCTGGCACAGCATCACACAGCCTGTTGATGGCCTCCCTAATAAGGGGAATGAGAAAAGGTCAATGGTCAGACTGTACTGAGGCACACTGGTCACTGATGAAATAGTTGCAAGACACACAAAAAAAAAATGTGACCAAAAACATCACCTGGATTTTGGTTGACCGTGAAACTCATAATTAATATGAGAACAGTAGAGAGTATAAACTGAGAATACAAGTTTGTTAAGTCAGAACCACAAAACACGTGCGATTCTGCATCACACTGAAGCACAAACCTGAAGTTAAACATGAACCAAAGCTTTGTGTTCCCTCCCTCTGACTAAGGTCAGAGGTCACAGACCCATCATAGTTCAAAGATCAAGAAAAGGCTTCCAGCAGTAGTGTGTACCAGGGATGTTAATGGTGGACAGTGACTGTTTATCAACCTCGTGTTTAACTTCGGTTTGTTGTTCATTTTGCTGCTCCCTGTGGACAACATGATACCTTGATCTTGTCTTGTACACGCAAATGTAGAATTTTCTGATGAAAAACCTTCACCTGATTTCTTTGAACAAAACTATCACTTAAAGTGAATCTTTGATGAGGATTAAAATAGGTTGTTTATAGCAACATTAAACATAATATCTGATACCTAACCTCTGCTAAATACTCTTCAAAGGAGCTTGAAGTAATGTACTCTCATTTAAAAAGAGTATTTAGGATCTGTGCAGCTCCATGTTCTCTACTGCTTATACAGTACAGCATTTTTTTTTCTCAGTGCCCTCCTCTTTGCAGATTTGTTACCACTTTGCTGTGAGGCTGCTATAACTCTTGGGAATGGCTGCCTAATGGGCTCTTAAAGCTCCTGTCCCCTGTGTGTCTTACGGAGGGAGAGAGACATAATGTGGATTTGAGGCTCAAGCTTTCACTGCCAGGGGACAGCGGGGACAGCAGTCGAGAAGCCTGCTGCCCCTATCAAGTGGCTTGTAAATATTTAAAAAGCAGCGTCCCAGGCCCCATCTTGACTAAAGGTCTTCTCAGGGATTTTTGAAAAACATCACAATGACTCATGCTAACAAGAGGGCAGAGGGAGGAGGAGTTACAGAGGAGAGATGGGCTGTTGTTGTTGTTTTTGGTCTGCAGCTTCAGTTTCTTTCCTGCAATAAAATGCTGGGCCTCATTAGCACTACTGCTGCTGTTCAACACCATGACACAGAGAGTACTGTTAGAAGAATGCATCGTCTTACAATGTAGGAGCCGAAGGACATTTTTTAAATTGTGAGAATTGCTCAATGTTTTGGTTTAGTTTCCAAGGAAATTAAAACTAAAATTCACTTAAATGCAAGACAGCAAGCTGACACAAGGGCTCTGCTGCTTTGGAGTTGCATCTAGAATAAATTAAGATACATTTTTTTCCCTAACAGGGCTTTCACACATGTACAAACTCATAAAAACTTCCTGACATTTTCGGGATGAGCAGCTTGTGGGGAAAGGGGTAAACTGATGTGAGAATGCAGCTGGAAATATTCAGGAAAATTCACCACAACCTTGCGACAAGGTTGTTCTTCTGTACTCTTTTGTTGATACTGTGAATATATTTCAAACTACAACTTAGCACTGATATACTTAAATTTTGATTATAGTGTCAGACTCTTAGTTTCTTAGTCATATACTGCCTCCTGAGGACTACCTACCGCTGTGAGGGACATGTGTGAACAAACAAATCAGAAACATTTAAGGGGCAGCCTGCCTGACATTTTCTAGAGATTTTCAGGAGTGCATTTGTGAAAACAGCTTATGATGCAGTTGTGTATTACGCAAAGTTTGCTAGCTTGATTAAGACCATCAATCATTGATTTTTGATCCTTGTGGGACAGATGGCCCGTCTCAAGATTCCCCAGGATTTCAGAGACAGAAGCTTCATGTCGTTAGCGTCACTGGAAAATGTGGTAGTTCTTTTTTAAAGCTGGCAAGGACTGCAGAGATGCAAAATATAAACACATTCATAAATAAATGTTTACTCCATTAAGCATGACTGAAATGCTTTAATGCTCCAATGTATACCATGGCTGCACAATTAAGCCAAATCTCAGCGTCATCGCAATATGAACATGCACAGTACACACATGCCTCTATTGCCATGAGAAAAAAAAAGTGAAAGAAAATGATTTATATAGAGACATCACGCTTTCTCATCCAGCTTGAGTATATTTTTCTCTTATCAGATACACCCCTGGTTATATGTATCATGCCTTTACACCATTTTGCTAATCAAATAAGTAGCTATCAACTACCCTCAGCTTTATGTGTCACTTTGGTGGTGCAAAAATACAGATATTTGGAATTATTTTGGATTTATTTTGGATGCTGGACAGGTACTGTGTAAGAACCGCAGATAGACATCAATAATTAGAGTTTATATGCCTGCTTTTACATTTTTTATTTTTTAACACGTCATATCATCATCATATCGAACAATTTAATATAACATTGCAGATTTTTCTCATATAGTACAGGCCTGTTTCATACCACAATAAAACCTGGTGTAGTCTGCTATACTCAGTTTGGTCCCTCCCTTCACTAATGGTATGTTTGGCTGTTTTGTTTTGAACTATTCTCACTTTCTCCCTCCTCCTCCTCCTGAACAAGTTACAACCGCAGACATTATCCAGCAGTGAGCGTTCATGGGTCCACTGCAGCTTTCCACACTCATTAGCAAACATCATCAATAATAGATCTCCCCTCTCTATCACTCCATCTCTGCTGCCTCCTCCCCCTGCACTTAAGCACAGGCTGCTGGGTGGGCTCAGATTACAGCCGATCGATTATGGAGGAGTGAGAGAGGGAGCGGGAGTGAGAGAGTGCATGTCTCCCATGAGACAAGGAACCCTGCTTTTATAACAATAAAATCAGATGTAGAGAACAACACACACATTGACACAGACATACATGACCCAAAGGTATGGTTCTCATGTCATGCCTCTGAGCACATTAAACAGTTGTTTGGTTCATTTCTAAATTTGGACACACAACAGTTTATTGCTGCCATTGTACAAAATCTTTGTGACTTTGGTTTTGTTTCCTTTTTTCTTTTTAAGTGCTTGCATTTCCAGTAAAACTGGTGGAGAAATCGCTGATAGAATATACTCCTGAAATAATATACCAACTCTTAATATGAGTAACAGTCAAAAACTGACACCCTGCTGGTTGTAATTTGAGATTGCTGTTTGAGTTGATCCTTTGCATCATATATTAAACTCTCCTGACTCACCACATTGTCACCATGGCTTACCTCGTCACCTGAGTCCGTGTGTTGAAATCCAGGGAACGCATTGACTTCAGTACTTCAATACAGCCCATGTACTGCAAAAAGAAACAAATTGCAGCAGGCATAAATGTATGTTTATGAACACATCAACGTTTGTTTTTTCATCTTTTGTTTGTTTGTTTGTATTTTTCTTTTTAATTTAATGATGGATGAATGTCCTTCTTAGAGGATAAAAACACATGTTGGAGAAGAATAAAATTAAGAACATGGCGATGCAAGAGAGGCTTTTATCCATTAATTTTAAACTCATGTTGAGTTTTGTTTCTTGCAGTCGAAATGTGGAATCACCTCACAAGTCAATACTGGATTTAAAACTCACAATGAAAAATAATTTAAGTTGTCAGCTTTCTGAACACTTTTTCTTGTGTAGTTGACTTAGATCTGTATGTTTTAAACACATCAGTCAAACATGTATAGCTAAGATTGCACTTCTAAAGCAGCCATCCTATGCAGATTTAAAACCTGATCCTCTATTGATAAGCATATGTCCGACATTGCGCCATAAGCTAACTCACATACATACAGGCCATTAAAGTGTACTCCATCAGGTAGCAGCAAGATGAGCAGCTTTCTAATGTATGTCAGGTTGGGGTGCTAATGGCACCTTGACTAGATTAGTAACACGACCGTAAAAGCTCCAAATCCCGGTGAGGGCCAACTTCTTAGGCCTCTGGGGATGCTGAGGGTGTGACTGTGTTTGTGTCTTAGATCAGTGCATGTGTTTTTTGCATTACAGTGAGTCTCACATTACAGGATAAGTTGATCATGTGAATCTTAGAGCTGCTCAACTCCAACTGGTATAAATACTACAATCAGTCCTACGCATTTTAAAAGTCATTATAGTTGTTGTAAGTAAGTTAAATGGTAACTAAACTGAATTTAAATGAAGTGCATCTACCCTGGAATTTCAAAAAATGTAGATGTCAATGTGTCAACATGGACAGGGCTGGGGGGAATAAGACACGCCCACACTCCTTCGCCGTCATCAGCCTAAACATCATACAGTCTATATGACCCAAACACACCACACATAAACTGATTCACAAGTTTAGCTAGGTTATTAAGCCACGAGTGAAGACTCTAGAAGCAGCACTGGCAATTATACGACAGAAATGTCATTTGAAGTAGAGGACTTCTCTCTTCCTGAGTCTCCTGTAGACCACAACAGGGGCGGGCAGTGAGTGCTGAGACAGTTGATGCCGAGGACATGGAAGGGCAGGAGAGGACGATGGTAGACGATGCCCCCAAGAGGATTTTAATTTTAAGGCTTTAACATATTTAAACAAATAGCCTGATTTTTTCTCTTTACTATGGCCATATTTCACAGCAAGCCACTTAGATTTCAGTGATAGCCAAACTGCACAATTATTTCAATCTACTTGACTCCTCACTGTTTGCTGAGTTGGGTGAGCTAGTCAAAATATGTAGAATTAAATTACTTACTCAAATGTCGAGAATCAAAACCAAAGTGATCAGCAACACTACTTAATACCCATATACATAGATTTTCAGCTGAAAAGGATGATCTGGAGGTTTAGTTACTCTTATAAAATAAACATTGCACAAAAAGGAAGGACATTTGTGTTTGGTAGAGTACTTCTTTGTTGTAACAATGCTTCTTGGCAATAAATCTTATACTGTTAGAAAGCCTGTTTATTTTCCTTTTAAATTGTGGAACATGCATTTGTGGGATAAGCAGCAGAGCAGAATAAGCTGTTTGGCATTGGCAGAGAAGATTTTGTAAGTTTTTCATGGGCACAACCCACAAACTCAGCTCTGCTGCTCATCCCACAAATGCAGTCAAAGCGGATGGGTCTGTTCTGCTCAAGGTTTCTGTTATAAGGAAAACTTCCTTATAACAGAAACCTTGAGCAGACTGCCTGCCACTGTTACTGAGTAAATGTTGCTAGGGGCTTTGCTTATGGTGGATTAATGTTGGGTCTCTGTGAATAATATAAAACAGTAAGGTCTAGACCGTGCTCTCTTTGTAAACTGTCTTGAGAGACAGATTACAGATAACAGTAACATTTTTATCACAAATACATGACTGTGGCTGTGACAATTGATTATGAAAGAAATAGCTGGAAATGTCTTCCCAAAAACAAAAACCTATATTCAGCCACAAATAAGCTTGTGTGATTTGTGATCTCTGGCATAACAAATGAAACATAATTTATATTCTCTCTCCATCAGGACTTTTGCTGAATTATGAAATGTCACATTAAGTTCAGTTTCCAGCATTACAAGTGACTGGAAAAAGACAGCAGACAGAAAACCTGTGGCAGCCTTATGAAAAAAATATACAGGAAGAGAGAGAGAGAAAGAGCAGGAGAGAGCAAGACAGAGAGAGAGAGAGAGAGCAACCTTCAAGGCTGGGAGCTAAATGAGCTTTCTAACCAGATTTGAAGACGGGGGGGGGGGGGAGTCTTCCATCAGGAAAATTGTATCTCTTTTTTTCTTCCCCTTCTCAGCTAATACCTTCTTTGTTACTCAGTGTTCTTCTGATACAACACATCTCCTCTTCTATCACCAAAAATCTGCACTCTTATTCCTTCGACAAAGTCTCAAACAATATTCCCAGGACTAAAGGGACAAAGACTTTCCTAGAAATCCTGCACAAAAATTCAATAAAAATGGCAGCCCATTCAAAATGTCTTTCATCACAGCTGTCTTCAAAAAGGAATAATGGCTTCAATATCCTCTTATATTACCTCTAATTTAAGGCAAGCTAAAGAAGTTAGTGTTAGGATGAATGTGTGGCTGATGAACATATACTGAAGCCAGATGGATGTTATCAAACAGTATCTACAAAGCGTTGACAGCGAGTCCTCTACTGTCGTGTCTTGAATCTAATTCATGCTGAGGGTAATGACGTATTTTCTTATGTTGTGGACAATTAAATGCCATCTCATTTCATACTTTGATGCATTACTCAGAGCAGACTTCAGAGCATTCAACCACTAAATTCACAATGAAAGAGCCTTTCTCGAAGATGAAGCAATAAAAATGACATTGTCTCTATTCATAATTTGACAAGGATAAATTGCAGAAGATTGTTAGGGAGCAGGATATATTGATAGCAGTCTGGTTTGAACATAGCTCTCTGAATGATGGCTTCTTTGGCAGCTGCAGTGCTTTCTTTAAAGCTTGCTGCAGTGTCCTGGCTGTCAAAGGTGGCAGATGCAGGCCAGACACAGAGCCTGACAAAAAAACAAGTACTCAGAATCACATTTGTATCTTCCCCAGCACAGGATAGTGCGTGGGTGTGTCTGTGTATACCAGAGAGAAAGAGAGAGAGGGGCACTAGAATGAAATATAGACAGAGAGAGAAAGAGAGAGAGAGAGAGAGAGAGAGAGAGAGAGAGGGGCGAGAGCTGTGCACTGTTCGCTATGCTGATTAAAAATGGCACAGCAAAGCAGAATTCTACTGTCACTTTGACACTAATACATGCAGCAAGTACCTCTTCATGCAAAGATTCACTATTGATTTGCACCTATAGTGCTGCTTTAGCCACCCCTGAAATACATTCCAAACATACAGGTCCTTTTAAATAACTGTACACCTTCTCTTGACAACAATAACCTGATAAAAGCTCTGCTAATTAACCCAGATATTGATCAGTTATTAGAGCAGCACTTGTTAGGAATCTTGGAAAAGCCCTGCATGATGAGGAGAGAGAGAGAGAGAGAGAGAGAGAGAGAGAGAGAGAGAGAGAGAGAGAGAGAGAGAGAGAGAGGGAGAGAGAGGGACAGAGAGCACACATAGTCGTCATGGGACCCCTCCCACACTGATCACAGCATCCTCTTCCACATCACATGGCGCAAATGACTGTGATTAAACCTAATTGAATATAGGAATGAATGGTGCCTGCATAATGCCATTGAAAAGTGTTCTTGGCTCCCAGACTGGGCTAATCAAGAGCCATGTCTTTAGTTGGGGGAGGGGCATGGGTAGTGGTAGAAAAAAAGGCATTGGGGATGGATAAAGGGAGATCATTGACATCGACGTCTGCATGAGATCGCATCCCTTCGTCTACATTAGACTATTTGTTAATACAAGGAAAAAAACAATCTCTTAAAAAGACAACATTTCCTTTGTCAGAAGAGAAGAGAAAATACTCTTATGTTCTACTTTTTGCATGCAAAAGGAAGAAATTGTCTCGAACATGCGTAAGCAAATATATGCTATTTAAACACACAGTAACCCATTTATACAAGATAGCACCTTTTAGAAACCATTAAACACACTTAAAACACAAAATATACAAACAAACACACACACAGACACACACACACACACACACACACACACACACACACACACACACACACACACACACACACACACACATATTAGAGCTACATTAAAAGAGGGCACCAGGTTCTTAATGGTGGTTGCAGTGTGACAGTGTCATGTGCAGTATAGCAGACTGGCTTTAAAGTGTCCTCACTCAATAATTAGTGTAGCCTATTATTACAACTTTGAAATAGATTTTTTTATTTAAGTTTCAAATGATGTGCCAGTACAAGGATACTTTCCATAACTAAATTTGATATTCATTAAGCTAGGGGTATTTAAATGACATTGTAAGGATAAGATCTTATTGTAAACAAACCTGAAACAACACAAAGAATACCACTCCCACAAGCTTACTGTGAGAGCTCACCATCAGACATAGCTTGTATGCACTATTAACACAGATGGTTATTGTCTTAATAGTATCTGGTATCATCTACAATAAAGAATGCAGCTAATAATGAGCCTGACTACAGTCTGTGCACATAATTCCATTGTTTATCTTTCACCACCCTGACGTCTGTTTGTTATCCTGACGCAGTCTCCCTGCCAGCCACACCAAGCCATCTATCTGGATTAAATTATGTATTCCCCAGCCCTCGCCACATGAGCAGCATAACAAACTGCATGGCACTCTGCTCTCCTTTTGTTTTTCATACAGGAAGAGCAATCTCTAAATAGGGTCATCAAATTATATGGTTCGTCTTCTGTTTCTGTTCACAGTTCATTTTTATCTGAGCACCAGATAATGACTACTTACTTTCAAAACAAATCCTGAGTATGTAGTGTAGATGTTTACATGGATTTTCTTTTAAAATTGACAGCATTTAAAAAGAAATAGCCAACTGACTCACCCTTACGATATAAGAGGCCCCTGGTCCTGCAATCATCTTGTCAGGGTGCAGCCAGCCTTGAGAGGGTTTGTGGATAAAGTTTCCCTTCTGGGTGATTTCCTCTCCCCCAAGCCACATGCCCTCCACCCTTGTCCGGCGGCTCATTCCTGACCTGACACTGCTGGATCCCCCAGGGCTCGCCATTGCCTCTGTGGCCCCAAATCTGTGCCCTCCTGAATTTGCAGAATTTGCCGCTGCTACTGCTCTCTGTCCCCGAATGGCCTGCAAAGAACAGGGGGTGACACACACAGGGTCACAGGAGTTAAGCACTGCTGCAAGACTGGCCACAGTGCCACTGGCAGAGGTCACACCACCAGGCCTGTGTGATGATGAGGAAAGGGAGACAGAGCTCTGGGAAGGAGCTGCTGAAGCTTTCCCTGAGTCCTTGCTAGAACTGGAGCTAGAGCTGGAGTTGGATGGGCTCCGACTAAGCAGAGAGTTTGAGAACTTCCACTGGGGCATCCTTGGGATGAGCATGCAAAAGGTAGTGGTGGCATCCTGTTCCCCGTCCAGGCAGGGTGAGTCGGCCAGAGCTGCAGCCCCAGCAGAGGAAGAGGATCTGGTACTGGGATCCAGAGGAGGCAGATTGAGGCTCGGGTTGGAGGAGGGGACCACCGGTGTGGCCACAACTTTGCCGCTCATGGCTAAGCTCTGCATCAGGTCGTCGGAGGAGGTCACAGACTCGTTGCGGAAGCGGCCATACTTTGGCTTAAGGAGCATGCCCGGAGGAGCCGCTAGAAGCAGGAACTGAGAGGGGGGATGACTGCCAGAGGATGAGGAGGGGAAAGGGAAGGGAGGGGGGGGGACGGGGATGGGGACGGGGACGGGGTAAAGGTGTAATGGAATAAGAGGAGAAAACTAGAGAGAAAATCCTTCAGATATCCTTGTTAAGTGAAGGCTCCTCTCCTGCTCACACACACGCACACACACTGTCCCACACTCATGCCACGCTCCTCTCTGTCTGAGCCGGCCTGCTTCCTTTTACTGCCTAAGGCTGCTCGCTTCTCTGCTCCTTCTCTCTCTCTCTCTCTCTCTCCGTGGATGATGTCATTGGGTCTATTAGCCCTGCCCTGCCCAGCTGCTCTCAGACTGTATTAGCTAGAACACATCTGCCTGAACCACCCAGACACACATACAGGCACACACACACACACACACACACACACACACACACACACACACACACACACACACACACACACACACACACACACACACACACACATCAAGAATCAATATTTTTTTTAAATTAAGGTTATACTGCAAATTAATTTTGCTGACTCAAAGGGAGTCAACACTCTTTTCTCTAGAATGATGATACATACTGAATTTGAGACCCAAGAGGCAAAATATTATTATGATACTTCTAGATATCAGAATCACTATAGGGAAGAAAAAAATGGTTTTAGAAAATCTATATAATAAATGTAATTAGATTTAGTCATATTTAATGGGTCCCTACTGTCAGTGTTTCTGCCTCCTTTATCTATCAGTGTGTTGTGAATGTTATCTGTCAATGTAATAAATCTATTAACATCTGTCTTTTACCAGCCAGAATAGGGGAATATTATGCATTTGACTGAAGCTCAATGTACACAATATATTGTGTTAAACTATAACCAAAAAACAATTCTACTGATAATGTTAATTGACATACAAGAAAAATATTTTGTTTAATTGCTGTATGTGAGAAAAATTCTAGTCCAATTGCTGTGATGTGCATTTTGTATCAATATGTGTGTTTTGAGTGATTGTGTAATTCCATTTGTCTTAGCAATAGATACAAACTTAACAAAGGCAACCATGTAGCCAAACTCATAAGGGACTACATGTCTAAAAAAAAAAAATCATCAACATCCACCCAATCCCATCTGTCTAAATTCTCTTTGCAACTCTTAGCTCCTGACTTGCACTCGTAACCTCAGGCTTTTTCTCATTCCAGTCAAACCCTTTCCACACTCAAATTTATTTTTCCATCTTACACTCAAGTGATTTAAGGCATGCAGTGAAACACAAAGTACAGCTTCTTTATTTTGATGAGGTCACATTTTCACACAGGTTAAACCAAGAAAAAGTGTTAAAAGGTGAACCTGATTTCTTTTATCATGTCAGACAGGTATGATCCACCACAGAGGTTATTCAGCACAGCTAAATTAAAAAAGGATGAAGAAAAGGTAACTTTAATGCTAAAAGAACATTTTTAGAATTCATAGTGTCCCAAAACAAGTACCAGTACCTACAAATAGAAAGCAATGATTGGGATTGGCCCAAAAGTCTGTTCATTGGAAAGAAGGCTAATTTACTGATGCAAGAACAGCATCTTCACCAACAAGAGGCTCAAATAGTTTATGTTAAGAACTTGAATTTAATCAAGTTGTCTAGTCCTACATTCAGCCTGGACAGTGTCATGAAAAAAATATATAGAGAGAGCAAACCACTGTCCAAAATATCTTCAACCCTAAATCCTGCTGACACAACACTTGTAAACATTATTTAGAAAGAAATCTGAGACAGGAAGCTTACCTATAAGTCCGGTTTTGTGGAGAAAAAGGGTGACAATCAGTGCAAGTTCAGTGAACTTTCAATGACTCTGATCAGAGAAAAAAAAAACTTGAACATTCATTGTATAAGAGCTAGCTATAGTTAACTCAGGGAACAATTTATTTCACTAACCAGGAGATCACATCACAAATAAACTGGAAAATGCCAACGAACAAACCACCTTCTGAAACATAATGACACAGCTAACACTGACACCCCACCTTCGTCCAAACAGCCAATCACTCCATTTGTTGGCCACAGAGTGGAAAAAGTTACTGATAAACCAGAAGGAATCAATGCATGTTGACAAATGTACCAGTATCTAACTGTCTTCAGTATGTACTGTCCTTTGTTCTAGCCACAAAAACAAATAACCGGCAGCACACTACTAAAGAAAACAGACCTGGCCATATTTACTACAAATTTAGGCTCGTGAAAGTATTTTAAAACCAAAAATGCACAAGCAAAAACTTGAAGCTGGTAGTAGGTTTTAATTTTCACCAATAACAAATCTGTTTTTGATCACACACAATAATTGAAATCACTTAACTGCACTGTGATATTCTGTAAGAGTTACCGTTTACCTCCTGACTTGAGTAGTTTGCATTAACAAGTGGAACAAATCATGCTGTGAATACAACACTACTCATTAGCAGCACTTACTCTGACAGCAGTGATTACATCTAAGAATAACACAGGCTGTTACAACATGCCTCTAACTCAACCTGACTATCAGGTTAACATGTAAAGAGAGAGTTTATTCTAAATGTGAATGATTGCCTGGGGGGAAAAGTCATATATTTGTGTAAAGCCTACATCTGAATTCAGTGGAAATATGTGAAATAGAAGAGGGGTTGTTGTAAAGCACATCCATTTATATTTCATTTACAGAAATAGGCTTCTCCTGGAATAGTAAATATCAGAGATAGCCTTTTGCTGGGAAAATAGCATGAATTCAATTTGTAAAATAAATGTAATTTTGATGTAGGCCTATTCCATCAGTCCTGGTTGGAAACATATTTGACTCATGTTTTACCACGACTTGCAAACTCATTAAATTGTATTATGTAGCCTATATCTTCTATAGTATTTGTATAGCCTTGATAGTTTATTTTATACCTAATTACCTATTTATGTTTGCACTTTTTATTTTAAGGAAATGCTTGCTGCTGTTTTTATCCTGCACTATGATGAGCCAACTGCAACGAAATTTCGTTCTGATCTGCACAGTAAGGTACAATCTGAATGACAATAAAGAAAATCTAATATTGTTGTAGACTTAGATTTATACTTGTAACCAACATGTTTTGTTTTATCTATAAAGGCTTACTTTCTGAGATGCCTCCCGTAGTATTGCCTGTTTTTACATCAGGAATACAACTGACATGTTCCAGCATAATCGATATGAGCTCCTCCTGAGTAGAAAAGTCATATTCATGTTGTCGAATTCCTGCATGTATGATGGGTCTTGCATTATTTTTTTGCCCACGACCCTCAAAGAAGCTGCAGAGAAAATTACGAGGCGAAGACATTTTCTCTGCAAGAAAAAACCTTCCAGGCAAGGAAACCAGAAACTTTCCAAAACTACTTCAAATATCCTCTGTCCAAAACGCCTAATACGTATTTAAACTAAAATTGAAAAATCACCTTGATTTTATATCTTAAATGTACAGAGAAAAATATAACCTACTGTTGCAAACCATGTTTAGCCCGTTGAAAAGTTTCGCTTAAAGCTTCAGAGTGCTTCATCTTTCCGATCATAGACGATCTTACCAGACAGAAACACCGCGTGCTGCTGCCTCGACCAATCCGGGGAGAGCGGGGAGCCGTTGGTGTTTGAATCGTTCCCTGAAAACAGCGGCAGATGACAGCAGCTCGCAGCTCTCGCAAATATTACATATAAGTTACTATTACATCGCGTAAGAAGCTCTCTGGACTTCAGCCTGAACCTTTATCATCAACCGAACATGTCGAAAAAACAGATTTTCTATTCCGACAAGTACAACGACGAGGAGTTCGAGTACAGGTATGATTGACGTTGTTAGCGTCGTTGCTAAGCTAACGTCAGCTGGCGTCGTCAAGTGAAGTAAAAATACAAAATGTTATAGCGTATCAAGTGATGTTTATCGTGTCTCAAAACAAACAACTACGCGATAAAAAAACAACTGAGCTAACAGGTCTACTTCTCTGCTGTATATGTTGACTTTTATCGTTTTGGTTGTGATGGTGTTGACGCTGTAAAACATGAAGTTTGTACAGTCAGTGCTCGGTCAGCGCTAGATTTGTGTTTTTTTTTTGTACTTCTAGGTGTTTCTGAGGCTCTTTTCAAGTTTTTAACGGTGTTGTTTCCCACCTATAGACATGTGGTGCTTCCAAAGCAGCTGTCTAAACTGGTGCCCACCTCCCACCTGATGGCTGAAGACGAGTGGAGGGGACTGGGGGTGCAACAGAGCCAGGGCTGGATTCACTACATGATTCACAAACCAGGTGAGTTACCATGCTTATTGTCTTAAAACACCCCAACTGTACATGTAAATAGCTACTGGTCTGTCAGATTAGTGTAATAATCTGTAGTCCATATCCTATGCAAAACAAAAACATTGTAATGCTCAGCTAAAGTAGATGTCATTGTCTGCATTGGGGAGGGGCTTGGTCTGCCCAGAGGGAGGTTGTCAAAATTAGATTAGCACATATTAAAGCAGGGGGTTCCCAAACTTTTCAGCTTGTGACCCCCATTATGACGGTGATAGATACTTGGGACCGCACATTTGACGCACTAGGTCAAAACACTGGCATTAAAACAGCAAACAATAGCCCAAACACCATCATTATTATTTTTGTAATTTATTGTAAGACTACTTTAAGACAACTTTTTTTTTTACCTACTGTATTTTCAAATTAATGGGTGAAATATCCAATTTTAAATCATTTTCACATGTTTTTGAAAGGAATCTTGCGACACCCCCAGTGGGCCGCGACCCTCACTTTGGGAACCACTGTATTAAAGGGATACTTCACCTGTTGAAACATGAATCTGTATTGACATTGGGTCATATATGTTGTAGAAATATGAAATACATTTTGAAGTTGGTGCCTTCTTGACCGAGAAAAGGCAGAAAGTGTCTTTTTTAGCTCATGTGGATGAAAGACAACAACTCCCAGAATGCAAAGTACTGCAGGTTACTCCCACTAAGGTCAGGTTTACAGACATTTACTTCAACACATACTACCGTTTCCTCAACTGATTCTGAGATTTTTTCCTGAAGGAATTGGCATCTTGAAAATTCCTGGCAGAAAACAGACTCTATGTCTGTGTTCATAGGCAAACAGTGAGAGTCCGCCCCAGCTCGAGCCGCCCCGGGCTCCTCGTCCTCACCGCTGCAGCCGAGGCAGGAGGCAGCAGCCGCCTTGCCACTATATTGCGGCTCGTAGAGATATCCACGAACATCCGATTCGAGCACACAAGACCTTCAAAATCCCCTTCATCCATATCAGTTTGAAGTTGAAACATAATTTTTTTTGCTATTGACGGTTCTTATCAGCTTTCTCCATAGAGCCTGTTAGCATAGCTACCAAGCAATACGGCGGATGTTAAGTTTCCATTCTGGGAGTGAGTTCCCACCCACTGATCTGTGATTGGTCTGTAGCTTCAGGGGTCGAAAATATGAGGAACTAACGATGTAGTTTCACCCCCGCTAACCACAACAGCCGTCGATGACGCAAAATGACGATTTTTGCGTCATCGGAGGCTCCTTTTCAGACAAGAAATACAGAACTTTCCTGTCTCAGGGGAAAATGAGGGCGAGATGCACGACCATTCAAAAATACTACCAGGTTTCTAATGATACAAAGCTTAATGCAAATTGGTGAAGTATCCCTTTAAATAAAATCATGACACTTTATGGATTACTTTTTCAAATGTCTTTTGGTAAGAACAAGTTTGTGTAGGCCTCTCCTTCTGGGATTTATCAGTTAAAACATTTCAAATTAATGTTATAATTGACAGCAATGTAATCCCTTTTTACTGTTCGGGTCCTGAGGGGACTCCAAGAGTATAAGCTTATACTCAAGTATAACTGTATTCATTATAGTCCAGTGTATGGAGTAATCAGTGTACTGTCAAGTAATGCTGATTAAAAACTTCTCCTTTGCTTTACTCTCCAGAGCCACACATACTCCTTTTCAGAAGGCCTCTCCCAAAGGATTAAACAGGAGCCATCTGTAAAACGCCTGCTAGTATTTTTTGCTGATTTTGGAAATTACATCTCTGACACACATCTCTACATATGTTCCAATGTATTGTGTAGACGACATTTTCTATTCTGATTTTTCTTTTACGTCTCCCTCAATTTTTAGAGGTAATGAGAGGCAAATTACTTTATTCCATTCCATCTGTACAATATGATGCTAAGTATAATTTCCTCCTTTGATGCCATATTGTTGTGATCAATTTCTTTTCTGATAGGTCAAACCGTCTTATGGTTTCATTTTCCTCATGTGCACCCTTTTCTCAAGAGAGCTTTCTATGTTTTGAATATTTCCTGTTCTTTAAACTTGTGTTTGTGTTGTAAATATTATTTGTAGATATTATAAATTTTGAAAGTAAGTCATTGGTTGATTCAGCCGGTTCTGTGTTGCTGAAAGAATGTAATAAAATGTACTTCCTCACAATGTTTGCTCATTAATTTTTTCCCCCACCAAGTTACAGAATTTACTTTTCTGTCATTTTAAGGAGTGGATGATTTTTCAGTCTGAGACATTGACAACCAGTGGAGTGACAAATTCGGAGTGTCTGATGCCTAGGGAGAAGGCTGGTGCTCTTGCTTTGTGAACAATCACTTTTTCTGGACTGTAAGTCCCAGGACCTGGTTTCTTGGTAGCATCTCTGGGTAAGCTGTGACGCCCCAGCATGGAAAATGCTGGCTGCCGGGTTAGATAAACACTGGGGTCTGTGCTGTTGTATCTGCAAGGCCCTGGTGTCTTGGCTAAATCCACAGATGGTCCCCCTGTGCTGTATCTACCTGACATGGTGTAGCTGGCACTGGCTGGCTTGTTTGGGACTTGAGGGCCCATGAGTGGAGGGAGAGAGTACTTGTTAGGAGCCGGTACTGAGTCGATGCTTCGGTAGTGAGTGCGAGCGCTCATTGTGTAGGACGGAGGTCTGCGCTGGAGGTTGCATGGTGGGGCTTTCTCAGGACTGTATGCACCTGGACCAGGTGTCTGGAGTAGCTCCTCTAGAACACAAAAAAACTGTAGAATAACATAAACAACATATGGCAGGGATCGTGGTCAAAAAGGTGGTTCAGATTTTCCGTTGCAACATCTCTACATCAAGAAGTATTGTCCAAAATAATGTGGACTATATTGGAGCTCTTAGTTTGGTTTTAGTGTAAATCAATACATCCTGACAACAACGTATAAATTAACATGTGGGAGAAAAAAACTTGTGCATTAAGGACAATATTTTTCCTTTAAAAAATAGAAACTTACTCTGAGTTTTCACTCTTCCCAACATTGAGTATGCAGGTGTGCCATCCCTTCCAAAACGAGTCATTTTTGCATCAACATGGTACTGAGGCCCCGGACTTGAGTCAACACAATACACTGCAAGGAAAGTACACATTTATGATCAAATCAATGTATCTTTTGTCACTCTGTTTTTGTCCTGCCATGATTGTGAAATAAAGTTTCTGTATGAACATGAGAAAGTGAAGCTCATTTCAGAATTATGAAGTGTTGTCTCCCCCTACTGAATTAATGTGACAGTACACCACTAAGGATGACCACCACTTAAAAGTTTAGGTCATTGGCGTACCGGTATATTAATTAAGGTTTAATATCAAAGTTCTGACCAGGGCTGTAACCAAAAGTGTAAGTTATCCTGTGAATAACAACTTTGTAGTTAGTTTCTAATGTTAACAATAGAGTAAAAAATGAAGGACTCACTACTGTCACTCATCCTGCCATGAAAAGAATAGGCAGGGCTGGTTAGTTTAGTGAAGTCATGGCCAATAAATCCAATGGTGGGAGGAAGTCCATAACGCCCAGGCCCTGGCCCTATAGGGGAGAGAGAGTATTAAATAGAGAGATGGCCACACACACACACACATTCACACACACTTTGAAGTACAATAACTTTACAGAACACAATGACAAAGATTATCAGAAAGGGAGAGTTTTACACTAAATCATGGCTTGGATTAGAAGATATTTTGATTCTATTTATTTGTCATATTGCTGATGTATCTGAAAGACAAGATGCTGTCCAGCGGTTTAACAGAAAACCAACATATAAATACACCTTAACAAACAACCTCACAAAGAAGAAACCCTACTATAAAAAAAAACATGCCTTCTAAAATTACTCAAAACAATTAATATAACAGCAGTTTAGATTTGAAAGAAAAACAAGCAATACAAAAAGCAGCATATAGTTTGCACATGACATCAGCATAGAGGTGTTCAGGTACATGTGAGAAAGCAGAGCAGGAGGTAGCATATTTCACAGAAAGTAGCGAGTCCTGGCAGGTCTACACGCTGACATGTCCTTTACTTTGCTCAAGTCAACATATCCTCTTTGAAATCATGAAAACAACCAAGTATATGAAGTGGATATTAATATCAATGCCTTAATGCAGGGCAAACGGTTTTATACACATGGATTAGAAATTTAAATCATTGGACCTACCTTTTTCCCGTCCTGCAATAACTGGGTATTTTCTCTCCATTTGACTTTTTATGGAAGGGCTCGAACACTCAGGAACATCTCAACCAAGCCATTACTACAGAAATATCCATACTCTATTTCACTCCTGACAACAGGAAGCTCAAAGAAATAATGATTTTTAAGACCTTATCATGATGAAAAAAACTTTAACGCTTTGTTTTTGCATCTTTCCACAGGTGAATCCTCTTTTCCAGCAGTCAGGCAGCAGACTTGTCAATTCAGTCATCAAATGAGCATTACAGAAGAGCCTAACTCCTCAATCCATGTCAATCTTTTCAGTTTTTTCCTTCAGATTTCACCGAATTATACCTCCTGGCTGCAGCATCATACCTGTCCTGAACGACAGTGAAACTCAGACCCCTGGATGATCCAGAATCAATCCCTAATTTCCTCTGAAACAATCAGGAAACCTGAGCGGTATAATACATATTGAAGTGTCAGCAGCAGAGCAGGCTCTACACAAGACAGCGGTTTAATTATCTGCCTGTTTGTCCCTTTGTCCAGCAGCTTCCCATGTGGGGGGGCTCAGACTGATGAATAGCCCTACCTGCACAGAGTTGGATGTAAAGGTGCACTCAGCTGGTACTAAGGAACAATGTCATCACTCTGACTCGCTCTCATGTAATGCTAGCTCCCCCTGCAAACCAAGATCCCCCTTTCCCTCCTTTCTCTTTTTACTCTTTCTGCTCATCACAGTGTGGAGACTGGAGACACAATATCACTCTTCAGCCATGCATGTCGTTGCCACAGAGACTGCTGAAGACAGTTTGTTGAGTCCAGGTCCCCTGCACTGCTGGTCCAATGCCAACAATGGAGCACAGTTTTTCCATTGAAGCTGGGGAGGCAAATCCTGCTGTATCTGTAACTTTCAACTTCAATTTCACACATTTCCATAAACACAGATGCAAGGTTGGATGAAGTGCAGCATACTTGGAGAAACCGAAGGCCGAACTAATATCAACGATGCGACTTTGCTAGTCCAAGATGAAATTCCCTACAGTGACATTACGTATATCTCGTCCTATTTTCTTAATGTTCTGGTTTCTCTTCTTTAATAAAGGTTAAACTAAATATGCATTTGCTGTTTGGCTGTCTTTGATCTCCTCTACTCCCATTTAATTATTTCAAGTTGGGATTTTAAGGACTCATTTGAAGGCCTGAGTAGCCAGAGGCCACAGTAACTGAGAGGGTCGACAAGTGACATGTGCAGAAAACAAACATTAAACTTTAACAAGCTCCAACTCTCTCCCTGCTGTTGCTTCTGGTAACACATACAGTCCACAGGGAAGCCTACAGATGTACAGTACACAGAGTTCATACATTTATATCCACATGCACATGATTTTTGTCTCTAAAGCAGAAGCAATCCAGAGTTCAGAGAGTCAGCTATCAGAGCACAGAGCCCTCTGAAACAGACAGGCTGTAACACAGCTCACTGCTGACAGGAAATGATCTCCAGACTTAACTAGCCTTTCAAAGGAAATGGAGAAACACAGCTTTCAAACTAAAAAAAACTGCACTGCTGCTCCTTTGCTGTTGAGGCAGTTCCTTGTACTCTGCAGCATCTGCAATGATCTTCCTGTTCTAAAAGCACAGGCAGGTTTTAGAAGTGTGATGGCATTAGCTAAAACAGATGAAAGTGTGGTGAAAAGTGTAGAAGCCACCTTGTCTGCTAATTAACCACAGCAGCATCAAGCAAGAGAGTGTGAAGGCAACAAAGCCAGAACTTTGGATTGTATACAAATTTTATTCTTGTTTGTTTTAAAAAGCGCAATATCTGAAATGAATAGGGACTACATTGAATCAAATTTGGTCCATTTACATTAATTCAAAACGTAATTTTTGATTTTTCAGTTTATTGCTTTAAAAATTTAAATTGAACACAAACAAAAATAGCTTATGAACTGTACAATCAAATCTCAAGGTAGGTAAGGTGAAAGGTGACTTGAGAGTAGATGTTGTGGGTGTTTCGGTTGAATTCTTCCAGAAACACTTGAATTGATGCATCCTTGTGAACCCGAGCCCCACATACACTGAGCTTCTGTTCGCTTTGTGGCCTCAGTTGCAATTCAGTCCTCTTCCTTCCTCATGTTTCCTGTCAGTCTCTGCTGTGCTGTCCTTTAAATGCAAAAAGCTCCAAAAAAAATTGGAAAAAAAAAAGAAATACATTTGAGCTTATGTTTCTGTAAAGCATATGGTTAGCATATGTCTTTTACAGCAGGATACCAGCACAGGAATGTCATCAACAATTCAAGGATTGGGTTAAAGCTTGCTATGAAAGAACAAAAAATGCCTTTGACAGTTTATATCTTTTGTTTGAACTCAAAGAACCATAAGAGTAAAGAGTAGACTGTATGAACGGGCAAAGAAAAACAAGAACAGAAAAAAACAAAACAAAAACAAAAAACAGAAAATGATATGACCTCTAACTACAAATAAATACCACAGATAGAAAATAACAAAATATTTTGCTTACAGTCAGGTGTAATTACAAACATAAATACTTGATTATTACTTCTAGTGATTATAAAGGCAGTACAGTGAATAACAAAGACGCTATGGTGCCCAATGGTGACCAGGAGTTTGGACGAAGAGAAGTCTGGAGGACACTGGCTTTACAGCAACCGTACATAGTAACATCCAACCACGCACACATACGTATAAATGCATCCACACAGACTCCATACAAAATGACCCAACACACTCTCACACACTCTTCTCCAGACTCCACCATCTCTTTCTTTCTTTCTGGCAGGGCAAGTCCCAAGACTCTTCTTTCTTTCCATTCACTAGCATATTCACAAATAATGTACAATTTGGAGGTGGGTATGGCCTCAGTCTTTCAGCGTTTCTGTGGACGACAAGAAACAGGACACATTTTAAATGCAGGATTATCTGAGATAATGTTAAACCTTTTTTTTAAAGAAGAATGTGCGACTTTTTG